ACCTCTGAGACCGAAGAGCTTGTGAGAAGGGCTTGTCCTGACCTCTCCAGCTTGAAAGAACAAGGAATGGAATCTGCACGCAACTAGAAAGCTAACAGAAACTTTTAGAAAGGCAGGCCATGGCTTGTGCCTAAACTCAGAATATCATGGAACGGGATGACTCCCAGGAGTGTAGGAGAGAGGGACTCTCGAGACTGTGGCTTGGCCAAACGGAGCCGGGCTCTCCACCTCATGGGACTTGGGTAGGGCCTTTGTCCCCAAGAAGTCTGCATAGAGAAGAAGCAATTCTCGCCTGCAGAGAATACAGCCTCAGCCCTCACCCCGGGAAGGCACTGACTGTCACTGGTGGCGATAACAGAAGTGACTGTGGTGAGAGCCCTGTTGTTTGACACAAAACACTGAGTGACAAGCCACAGACTGCACAGGGCGGCATCACCGGGGAGGGGGTGAAATTCAGGTGTTCCCCATTCCTTAACCAACCCCGAGGGCAGGTGCTATTTATTATCAGCCACTATTCACTGCCTTGCAACACTAAAACAGGTGCAAAATCATGCGGTGACGTCAACACACCATGGAGGAGCTACCCAAAGTCACCAACCCAAGGTGGCTGGGACAGAGCCATCCGGACGGCAGCCTGCCCTCTGCTGGACATGATGATGACAATTTAGGTGAAAGGGGAAGGAAGAAAAGTCTCAGGATCAGAGAGAAATCCTGGCCCGGGCCAGGAGTCCACAAACACAAACAAGAAGAGTGGGGTGCGGGGAACGCAGGAACTTAGAGAAGAGTCAATGGATGGATACAGGGGTAAATCACCTGCAGATACCTAGTATTTGATGAACTCTGAAAAAGATCACTAGATGCCACTTAGAGCAACGCCCTGCAGCTCCCTTCCTTTCCCTCAACCCTTTATGGGATCCCCTAGATCCATTCTTCCTCCACGGTTCACGCTTCCATCCACCAAGAAATCGAAGCCTTTTCTGGTACAGCCTATTTAGGGAGCTGTTTGACTCGAGGAGGTCTGAAGCACTGGCTCTGGGGAGGCCTGTCAGGACAAGGAGGCGCCAGGAGGACTTGGCAGCGGGCATCGCCCACCTCCTGCTCCCTGGCTCAGCCCCGGGGCTCCCACGTCTCCGCACTCCCACCTGTCCGCTCCCTCTCTGCCACCTGAGGGGCTCCTCTTCCAATAGGGTGCTTGCACCTGGGATTCAACGCTCCCGTGCCTTGGGCCCTCCTCCCTCCCTCCCTCAAATTCTGAAGCCACTTTCCATGGCATCATCTGAGCCTCTCTGTTTCTAACACTTACAAGGTTTCAGACTAAGGTGTGCAGGCTTGTGGTGCAATCACGACTCAGCTCTAAAATCCCCTTTCAAAAAACTTGACCATTTTGCAGTAGTGTCCTCGCATTGGGTGAACAGCTCTCAAATATCTTGAACGTCTTGCCTGATTTCGGCCTCCTCTTTCTACATAGAAAGTTCTAGGCTTTCTTCTATTTTTGGGTGCAGGCTACTCCGTCCTGGGATCCATTTCAGAGTGCTCTACGGCTCAGTGCTGGCGTTAAGAAGTGAGATGCACACCAGAAAGCCAATGAGGCAAATCCGTACGTATCCCAGGCAGCCCCTGTGACGCACAGATTCCTTCCTGAACATAAGAATTAAAAGATCCTGAACCCAGGTGAAAAGCTTGCCTAAGTAGTGATTTTTTTTTTTTTTTTAGCAAAGGACATACACCGCTTTCCATACTGTTTTACATTAAGCCAAATCTCAAAAAAAAAAAAAAATCCTGAGGCTTCCAGTTATGGAATGGATAAGTCACAGAAATAAGAGGTCCTGGGCCCCCTGGGTGGCTCAGTGGGTGAGCACCTGCCTTCGGTTCAGGCTGTGATCCCGGGGTCCTGGGATCGAGTTCTGCACTGGGCTCCCTGCAGGGAGCCTGCTTCTCCCTCTGCCTGTGTCTCTCATGAATAAATAAAATCTTAAAAAAAAAAAAAGAACTAAAAGGTCCTGCATAGGGAACGTAGTCCGTGGTCGTGTGATAGCGCTGCATGGTGACAGATGGTCGCTACACATGTGGTGAGCACAGCATACTGCACGGACTTGTCAAATCACGATGTCATACACCTGACACTAATGTAACATTGTGTGTCGACCCTACTCCAATTTAAGAAAACCCAACAATGAAAGCCTGCCTTTTGTTTTGTCTGAAGATCTAATTGGCTTTGTTAAATGCTTCATGAGTCAGGGAGTTCCCTCTAGCAAGTGGAGAGGAGCTCCTGAAGCTACCGTTTCAAGCACTGATATTTATTTATTTTTTATTTTTTTATTTTTATTTATTTATGACAGTCAGAGAGAGAGAGAGAGAGAGGCAGAGACACAGGCAGAGGGAGAAGCAGGCTCCATGCACCGGGAGCCTGACGTGGGATTCGATCCCGAGTCTCCAGGATCGCGCCCCGGGCCAAAGACAGGCGCCAAACCACTGTGCCACCCAGGGATCCCAAGCACTGATATTTAAAAATAATTTAAAAAATAAAAAAATAAAAATAATTTTGACTACTTTTTAATTTTTAAAAAGCCTAACCTTTGATAACTTCCTCCTCTTGTTAAACTGAGTACACCTCTGTGATGTTGTGATACGGTAAGAAGTATCGATTTGGTCTTCCCTCCTGGTTCTTAACATAGGAGCTCCTAAAATCCTTGAAATTTCTCTCTCTCTTTTTAAATATTTTATTTTTATTTATTCATCAGAGACACACAGAGAGAGGCAGAGACACAGGCAGAGGGAGAAGCAGGCTCCCCAGAGGGAGCCTGATGCAGAACTCAATCCCAGGACCCAGGGGATCATAACCTGAGTCAAAGATAGAGGCTCAGCCACTGAGCCACCCAGGTGCCCCAAATCCTTGGAATTTGAGTGAAAGAGGGGACAGTGACATCTTTTCTTATTCATAAGGTGCCTCTTGCAACCACACCTCAGCTTATGCTAATGAAATAACTCTGAGGATGGGGCTGGTTGCCACAGGAAGCCATCAGAGGGTTGGAAATTTCAGCCCCACCTCCAACCTCCAATGGTCAATGACCAATGATTTCATAAATCCATACTCTGTAATGGAACCTCGCCCCCCTAAAAATCCTAAACAATGTAGTTCAGAGAAATTCTGGGTTGGTGGACACATAAAGGTGCGGGGAAGGTGGTGCACCTGGGAAAGCCTGGAAGCTTTGATCACCTGCCCTATATCAGCCCATGCATCTCCTCCATGTGGCTGTTCCTGTGTATCCTTTATAATCAACTGGTAATATTAAGTTTCTTGCACATGTGATCCGACTCCTCTGTATCTGTAGGCTCTGGAAGCTGTTCTAGCAAATAGTGCACCTGAGGAGGGGGTCATGGGAACCTTGGATTCAGGCTGGTGAGAAGTTCCAGAGGCCTAGACTTGGGACTGTCTGAGGTGGGGGCAATCCTGGGACGCTGAGACCTTAACCTGCGATGTCTGGCACGAATTCTGGAAAAATGTCAGAATCACTTGGTGTGAGGAAAACCTCCACGCATTTCGTGTGTGAGATGCTTTGTGAGTAAAAACCAATTCATAATAGCATGGGCCACCATTTGGTGTCGACTTGGGTCCATCAGGATGAATATCTGTGCTTATGTGCTTTTATGGAACGATAGTGTCGTTAGGGATTACTAAATAAGATAGGGTTATCTACTGCTCAGTGGCCCCAGCTTCCCACTTAAAAAAAAACAAACCCAGACATTAATTCTGTGAGCTCCTTCCTCTGTTCTATAGGGCTCTAAATATATCTGCTTCTAGAAGTGCTTCCTGAGTCTTTCTCTTAGGCTGTCCACTGTAACCTCTTGCTAGTTTGCAGTCAGGATAAAGCCGATGCCCCAAATCGCCAGTCATCCTAGATGGATATGCAATTCCAAGTCTCCAGACTCTAGCCTGAAAGTGGCTCCATGCTGGCCATGTCGACATAGCTTTATGGCAGTTAAGTCTCTAAGTTTTTTACTTTATTGTTTTATTTGGTTAATTTTTAAATTTCTGCTCAAAGAAAGTACAATAAGGAAACTTCCTAACGGAAAGCTTTATGAGCAAAGAAAATACCAGTGAAGACATGAACTGCCAGGGATATTCCCAGGGAACAGGAACTGGCACTTTTACACGTGTTAAATAAGACCACGTCTACCTTTGGTCCAGTGAACTTCGAATATGGACTGTTGACACACTCATCTATAGGATGAGGGTCAAACTTATCCTAAAATAAAGTACTGAATGTTATTATTCCCATTATATCCTAGATCCCAGAATTTCGTTCCATAATTTCTCAGCTTTTTTTTTTTTTTAATTTCTCAGCTCTTGATATCAGAAGATGTCAGTGAAAGTGATCTTGAATGAGTCACAACTGCTTTTCTCAAGGGACTGAAGCCACCCTCCATCCTGCAGCCTGACCTGATTCTCTTCATCAGCGGCTGTGCTGCTCTGGGACTCCTGCTGCTTCCACAATGGATACAGATTAGAGTCTAAAGTCTCAGGCTGCCCATCAGACACCTCAACAGCTTGGTCCCCATGTACTCTGCCAAACTAACCCTCCACTCCGTCTTCTTCTCCCCCTGTCCTCAGCCACCCCACACACACTGTCCCTGGAACCCCACCGACCCAGGCTGCCCCCAGACCTTGAAGATGTTCTTGCTGCCTGGATTCCTTCTCCCTCCACACCTGCCAGTCAAAGTCTTCCAAAATCTCTACTTCCATCCATCCAAGAAGGACTCAGGAGGCTCTTCTACTTTGCTGCATGCTTGCTCCCTCCCTCCCCGCCCCCTACCTAATTTCTTGTATTAACACCCCACAGTCAGGGCTGTTTAGGAATGTACTGGAGAGCGCTTTGCTTTCCCCATACCTCCCAGCCCAGGAGCTGAAAAGTGAGGGAAAGGGGTAGAGACCCAAGTCTTGTGCACCGACACCCATACCAGGGCTTTGCCCTGCCACCCCCTTATTTCTGCATACTCACGGTTTCCACAGTTGAGACCACCAAGCCCAAATGGGCAACTGCAAGTCAACAACAACAACAAAAGAACGAGAATTAATTTTAAAAGTCAAAAGATATAACTGAGGCAATCTACCCAAGTAACTTACTTATTAAAGATTTATTTTAATTAATTTATTTTAGTTTCAGAGGTAGAGTTTAGTGATTTATCAGTTGCATATGACACCCTGTGCTCATTCCATCATGTGCCCTCCTTACTGCCCATCAGCCAGTTATGCCATCCCCCCACCCACCACCCCTCCAGCTACCCTCAGTTGTTTCCTAGAGTTAAGAGTCTCTCATGGCTTGCCTCCCTCTCTTTTTCATCCTATTTTATTTTTTCTTCCTTCCCCTGTGGATCCTCTGTTTTGTTTCTTACATTCCACACATGAGTGAAATCATATGATATTTGTCTTTCTCTGATTGACTTATTTCACTTAGCAAACACCCTCTAGTTTCGTCCATGTTGTTGCAAACCCAAGTAACTTCTAAATAAGTTCAAATTCATCAGAATAAATGAGCCTACCTCATACATGTTTCATTTTCAAGCCTATATCCATCTTCGCATGCTAAAAGAGAAAAGGAAAATCCATGAATATGATCCAGGTTGGCCCAAACTGACAGTTATTAGATACCAGCCGCTTTAAAGTCCACAAGAATCTTCTAGAACCAGAAGTTTACAAATAGCTTTAGAATTATCTATAACCGGGGGATCCCTGGGTGGCTCAGCGGTTTAGCGCCGCCTTCAGCTCAGGGCGTGAACCTGGAGACCCGGGATTGGGATCCAGTCTCGCATCGGGCTCCCTGCATGGAGCCTGCTTCTCCCTCTGCCTGTGTCTCTGCCTCTCTCTTTCTCTGTGTCTCTCATGAATAAATAAAATCTTAAAAAAAAAAAAAAGAATTATCTATAACCTGTCAGCTCAACTCTTAATTAATTTTATCACAAAATTGTCTTAAACCTATGAGTGGCTCTCAGTTTGCCATGTATAAGAAAAAAAGGATCGTGATAGCAATCGTAATATCTACCTTATAGTTTCTCGGAGGGAATTAACTAGAGCAAGGCATGCAAATGGCTTGGCATGGTGCCTGGCACATAGTTACCACTGAATAAATGATTATAGTTATTACTGTCCAACGAATGCAATTCTTTTGGGAAGTTCTCTGTGGCCCATGTACCATCCTTCCATATGCACAAAGACAAATGATCTACCTTCTTTAACGTAAGTCAAACCTTTGACCTGCTGTTGACTCCATCAACCCCTTCCAAGAGGAAGAAGGAGCTGTGCCATCCTCTGGGACACGGTCCTGGTGGGTGCCTCAATTTTCATAGGAGAATGCTCGCCCTGTCTATCGTCTGTGCAGGGGATTCTGGACATATGTAGGGGAGTGCTAATCAGCACAGCACCCAAGAACATAACGTGGAACCCTCTGGTGGTGCTGCTCAGGGACTGAAGGGCTGTGGCCCAGCCATTCCTGTGGGTCAGCAGTTCTTGAATTTATTTGAACACAGAACATTTCCAACACTAAATAAGCTGATGGAACAGCATGAACTATAATGCATGCTGAGATGAAAGCAGACAATAAAAAATGGCTTCATAGTCAAATTCATCGCTGCAAGAAGTGATAGAAATTCGTTTCATGAATAATGTACGATACACACTGCATAAAAGATCACAGATAAGAAAAGGTACATAGCGTAGAGCGGGGATCCCTGGGCAGAGAGACACATGCTAATGGTGAGATGTGCGTGTCAGCAGTGCACACGGCTGGGGCGGGGGGTTGGTGCACACCCTCCTGGGCCGGGCCGGGAGCTCTCTCGGAGGCATTCTGGATGCTCTGTTATGGATTAACGCCTAATAATATCAACTTAGGTAGATGTACTCAGTGCTGCTCTTCCTTCTGTTTTTAATGTTAAATGCTAAATTTTTCTAGCATCTATTTTGTTGTCAGAGATCACTGACATATCACTAGAGTTGACTGGAACAGTTCAGAAAACGCTGCTCTAAATAGTCTGCGATTCTCTTACAGCAAGCAGATCATGAGAGCTGCAAGCCTGGACTGAGCTGTTCTGGCTCCACAGAGCTTTTCTTTTCTTTTTTAAATTATTATTATTTAAAAAAATTTTTTATTGGAGTTCAATTTGCCAACATATAGCATAACACCCAGTGCTCATCCCGTCAAGTGCCCCCCTCAGTGCCCGTCACCCAGTCACCCCAACCCCCCACTCACCTCCCCTTCCACTACCCCTTGTTCGTTTCCCAGAGTTAGGAGTCTCTCATGTCCTGTCTCCCTCACTGATATTTTCACTCATTTTCTGTCCTTTCCCTTTATTCCCTTTCACTAATTTTTATATTCCCCAAATGAATGAGACCCTATAAAGTTTGTCCTTTTCCGATTGACTTATTTCATTCAGCATAATACCCTCCAGTTCCATCCACATCGAAGCAAATGGTGGGTATTTGTCATTTCTAATGGCTGAGGAATACTCCAGTGTATACATAGACCACAGCTTCTTTATCCATCATCTGTCAATGGACACCGAGGCTCCTTCCACTGTGTGGCTATTGTGGACATTGCTGCTAGAAACATCGGGGTGCAGGTGTCCCGGAGTTTCATTGCATCTGCATCTTTGGGGTAAATCCCCAGCAGTGCAATTGCCGGGTCATAGGGCAGATCTATTTTTAACTCTTTGAGGAACCTCCACAGTTTTCCAGAATGGCTGCACCAGTTCACATTCCCACCAACAGTGCAGGAGGGTTCCCCTTTCTCCACATCCTCTCCAACATTTGTTGTTTCCTGCCTTGTTAATGTTCCCCATACTCACTGGGGTGAGGAGGTATCTCATTGTGGTTTTGATTTGTATTTCCCTGATGGCCAGTGATGCGGAGCATTTTCTCATGTGCTTGTTGGCCAAGTCTATGTCTTCCTCTGTGAATCCACAGAGCTTTTCCTGAGTTACATTCTCTTGCATCAGGGGCTCTTATAAATAGCAGCAGCATTGGGGAAGTCCCTGGGACTTATTACAGGATGTCATGGGCCACGCCGCCATGATACCATATGGTAACCTCTCAATGAGGACGCCCCAAAGAAAGTTCCCTTGGGCCTTCGGTCCTAAAAAGATGAGGATGCTTCTGAACAACTGTACTTTATTTTATGGGCACTGACTCTTTCTAAAGCCCTATTTCTCTCTTTGCCTCAGTATCCAGGAAGCTCAGAACTTGAGCGAGTGGCCTACCTTTAGCAAACATGTAGGACCTGATAGCCTATCTTTCTGCATCTTTTGCAACAAAGTAGGGCAAAATCATCACATCCGCTTTAGGGAAGGAGGAACAAGGCCCCTCTCCCATATCTTTGACAGCTTTGAGTCTACTGAGGCCTTCTCTAAGGAACAAGCTGGGCACTCCTGCTTCCCTGGGTGTGGAGAGCATCATGCCCTGGCAGTCCTCATGCTACAGCAGCTTGTGGGGGCCGGAAAGGCACCCCGGGCGCCCCATGCATGGCTGTGTCTACAGGCAGCTTCACAGGCACCGCTGGTGTGCCCGTGACTCATCCCCATCCATCTCAGCACTGAGGCAGGCTGATGTCACACCAGCCTGTTCTATTCTGAACACTTCTTCCTGGAAATGTTTTTACATCAGATCTACCCACCCAACCCTCATCTGCTGGGTGGGAGCTTTCCACCCTGTGGCTGTCATCCAGCCAGACGTAACGTCCATCTGTTGTCCTGCCTACAAGCTGATGGGCTGGGCTGTTTTCACTTGGCTTCAGAAGTGGCCCGACTTCCTGGTGTTAATGGTACTTCTTTACTTCAAATGGGTTTGTTCAGTCATTTCATCAAAGACAGAGTGCCACCACGGTTCTTGGAGGGAAAGCTCATCGTAAGATGCTCCAGTGCTCCTTAGGCTCTAGCTCCTCTTCACATACTAGCAGGACTCTGACCCGTGGGGCACTGAAGACAAAATGAATGTAGCAACAGCTGGTAGTAGTGCCCAGGCCAGGTTTCCCATATTGAACAAGTCAATGCAAATCTCTGGCCTTTTTATAAGTAAGTGGCGGAGTCTTCAAGACTCTTGTTTCCAAGACCTCCTACTCTTGTCCGATCCCATTTGCAGACCCGTCATCCATTTGTTAACTCGACAGACATTTGTTAAAGCCCACAACGTGCTAAGGATATTCTAGACATAGGTCTGGCTTTTAAGGCATTGGTGAGAGAAAGAGGCCTGTCAGAAGGACACCTACTTTAATTTTAGGATGCTTTGGAAGTCTGAAGACACGGGGAAGCTATTTTATGTGAGGACTACGTATGTGTACAACAGAGAGCAATAGAGGCTTGCTAACGTATAGCTTTTGGAAACACACCCACACACCCCTATCCTCCATCTATACTGAGGACTGACCTCAGATTTGAGGTGTCCAAAAGGGGCTTTATTTTAAACACCCCTGTGCTCCAGCACCAATGGCCAGAAGGTGTCACTGCAACCCATCAGAACCCAGCCAACAGGGCTGTGGCCCAAGGAGCTGCCGATTCCATTCATCAGAGGCCTGGTGGACATGGATGAAAGTCCAACCAACAAGGATACTGCAGAAATGAGGCTTTGCAGGGCCTTGGCAACAAGCCCGAGAGCTGACCAAGGAATCCTCGTGCTGCATCTTGGCTCGTTACTTGACAAACAGAAGGTTGCTGGATGCTGTGTCATTGCATCTGGAAACATCTTTGACAGTCCTGCTATCGCTAGTGCTAGTCTATCAGCCAGACAATTAAGAAATTGCTGACTTGGAAACAAAGGCAAGCGGCGGGGGCCAGCCAGAAGCAAAGGTGGCAGGGCTGTCAGAGACTCCAGAGACTCGGTGCACCGGGGCCACCACTCCCATGGGCCCCATTTCTGTCCATTACCTTCCTAGCCCCCCAGCACGTGGATTTAGCAGAGGTCACCTTCCCACAAGAAGCGGGGTTCAACAAGCCCCAGTTTCCAAGAAGAGCGAGGACTACTTTGCATGAAACCAGGTAAGATGGAACAAGGAAGAGTCATTTCTTTGCATCAAAGAGGCGGGCGGACTGTGCGCTGATAAACGCCGGGAGGTCGTCGTGCCTCAGGACCGCAGGCCAGCACACGGGGTCAGCCTCCCCTGCCGAGCCCACCACGGGGCCTGCGTGTGCAGCACACGGTGCGCGCTTTCAAAGCCCTTGTGCATAAACCTGAGTCAAGGGGTCTGAAGGTCAGGACGACTGCCCTGCCCTGAAGTGTGCTTTCATCCTCTCCTGATGGAACCAGTCCTCTACCGGAAAGTCCTGATAGAAGTAAGTGGCACGTCCCCTCTCCCTAGCATGTGACTTTTACTCAGAGTCCAGCAACACAGTCACCAGCAGGCGCTGGCCAAGCAGGAAACCTGTGCCTTTTACATTCTAATGTGATGCGATGCTTAGAGCTACCTGACGGACTTTGTGTCTGTTGCTAGTTTGGGGATTACAAATTCCAGCAGGCTTTTATAAAGTCAGGGCTCCGGACTTGCATTAGTTTTGCCTTCAAGTAGCATCCTTGCCGCGCACTCACTGAGCACCCTCTGTTTCTAACTGAACGAATGTTAGTCCCACCTAAATGGTTAGAATTACCTTTCTGCCCTCACACCCTTCGTGAAAACTTTAAAACTGGAACTCACTAAATCGGCCCCATCCTGCGTGAAATACCAGGGAGATGCTGATGGCTTACAAAGCACCTCCATAGGGCAGCTCCGGTGGCTTGGCGGTTTAGCGCCGCCTTCAGCCCAGGGTGTGATCCTGGAGCCCGGGGATCGAGTCCTGCATCGGGCTCCCTGCATGGAGCCTGCTTCTCCCTCTGCCTGTGTCTCTGCCTCTCTCTCTGTGTCTCTCATGAATAAATAAATAAAATCTTAAAAAAAAAAAAAAAGAAAAAGCACCTCCATATACACAGCCTTCCTCGATCCCTAGAACATCCAATGGAGCACTGCTATACCCATTTCACAGAAGGGGAAACTGAGGCTCAGCGAAGCAAAGCTGTCTTGCCCAAGACGATACATGATCTGCAAGGCAGAGTCGGGCGCTGACTCCCCTGAGCCTTGGCAGTACTTGGTCCACTGGGCCTCAGCTGCCTCTAAAAGGGACAGGCCTGACTCCGTGCTTGGGTTTCCGTTTATGAAGATTAGCAGACAATAGAATAAAACTTTGGGAATTAAAACGACAATTTTCCTAACTTCCCCTAAGTGAAAAAAAAAAAAAAGAAAAAAAAGTCACTGCCATAGGCATTCCCATTCTCTCTTCTTTTCCTCTGAATGTGATTGGCCGGACCAGCTGCACCACTCAGAGACAGCACTATTGTTCGAAGGAGATAACACAGTCCATGGGCAAAATGGCAAAATACCAAGTTACCCACAGCTGAGAACGGGCACAGCCAGAGCAGAGAGTTTGGGGCAGAGGAAAGCGTCTTCCCTGCGCCGGGTCGGGCTGCAGGCCCCCCCCCCCCCCGCCCGAGGACTTGCTGGCACCTCGGCAGGAGTGATCCATCTTGTTGAACTGGAAGTAGCCCGACTTGCATTGGCACAGGGCGACGCCGTCCAGGTCCGTGCAGATGGAGGTCTCTCTGTCACATTCTGGAGTCTTCCGCTTGCACAGGCTGCCCGCTAGAATGCAAAAACAAGACGGTGAAACAAAACCAAACCTCCTCCGCGTCAAACCTTAAGATGCATGAACTTTTCTATTTAAAGAGGCCCTGGGAACTGTTTCCAGAAAGTCGGCCTGCTGCAAGGCTCCCTTCAGAGGCCCACTCGGGGACCTTCCCTGTCGCCCCATAGCCCATCCCCCGAGCACGCCACGGGACAGAGGCGCAGACAAAAGACACAGGCCTGGTGCCCGAGACCCCGGCACCCACTGTAAACACGGCCCTGGACGCGGGGACGTCTTCCGTAACCCCCCGCTGGAGGGGCGGGCACAGAGCCAGGAATCGTGCCCAGGCCCTGTGAGGAAGCCGTGAAGCTCACACCTGTCCTGCGTGGACGCCTGCCTCTGAGTCTGCTCTGTGTCTGCGCGGCCTGGAGGGAGGCAGAGGGTGGCCGCTTGCCCACAGAGGTGTTCCGAGGGTCGGACGCCCCGGCATCACGTTCTTTGATTAGGTTCCCTGTCTGTCTCTCCACTACTCTGGCGGTTTCTGGGGGCTTATGCATCTCTGGGGCTTTGGGACCTTGCACGGAGATGGTCACACCTTGCACGCTGAAGGCTGCTGTTGGGCCCTGGGTCCCCAGGCCATCACCACGGGGGTCGGGGGCAGAGGAGGGCAGAGGCGGCTTGCTACCTCCCTCCCTTTAGGGCTTTACTTTCTACATGCAAATCTGCTCGTTTTGTCCAGCTCTGGACACACGGGCCGCGCTCATTTCATGGAGGACAAAGAAGTTATCTCCTTATTATCAGAAAGTGTTCATGGTTGGGCACATGGCCTTCTCCGAGGCTGTGTACAGCAGGCCCTCTCTGTATGCAGGGGACATACCAGGGGAAGCTTACTATCTAAGGCCTGACAAAAACACACATGTGAATGGGGGACACAGAGAGCAGAACAAAAACAAGCAGCTAACTGGATAGTGAGCAGAGCTCCTTTCCAACCAGCTCAAGGGGAGGGCAATGCTGAGATCTGCTCTCGCTGCCGGGAGGTGAGTGCAAGTTGCCAACGGGGAGAGGCCACCGAAGCGCAGTGTGTGCATATCATGCAGGGAGGCATGGTCCCCCCTCTCCCACCTTACGGAAGACACCAACGATTCAAAAACCAGGTACTGGCTCTCATTGTGGCAAAACTGCCCCTCCTGTGATGACGTGAGGTGCCACCCATGCCAGGTCCCCGCATCTGCCTCCTTTCCTGAGTCCCGAGAGCTTGGGACCTGCTGGATGGCCTGGTCACAGGGAGGTAAGTTTAGGACACAGCTTTGGTTTTCATCACTGCATTTCCTGCCTTTATCATTGGAAGCTGGCTGCTAAAGCAGAACTCTCTTTGTGTGTATGATAGAATTTCCTTTGTTTATTGTGAAAAGTTTGTATTTAAGAGAGAAAATTAAAAAAAAAAAAAAAAAAAGGAAAAATCTCACCAGGCTAACTGCAACGCTGGCACTAGAGAGGTACCAACCCCCACAGTTCCTCCCCTAAACTTGGTGAGAGCTTTGTCAGTCCTCAAACCTTAACATAAATACTTCTGGGGCAAAAGGCTGGTGCTAGCTTTGTCCAGCAGCCAGCCTGGGTTGCCTGTCCCGATTAGATATTTTCTGGAAGCCAATGTCACATTTTCCTTCCATCCTGCCCATTAATCTAGCCTGCTGGCAAATACCACTCGCCCCACTGAAGCAACCCTTCCTTGCACAGAAGCAAGGAAAGTTGGCCTTGCCTCTGCAACAGAGGAGTTGCTCTCCTAAAACTCCTTAAAGAACATCCTGTCGTAAGTCAATCAAATGCAACCACATCGAATCTCATTTTCATTTCAAGCCTGGCAATGTGATTTTTCTACAACCACAATTCCCATGGTCGTTCCGGGGCATAACATCCGCCTGACAGACAATGAGAATGTATGTACATCTGAGGCTGCGACGCTCCTTGGGGGATTTCCAAAGACTCTAAACCTTTGGAGGCATGAGAGCTGCAGTTTTGGAAGGTGAAGAACTGAGGAAGCGGATATTTTGCGAACTGAAGGGTGAAGACCTGCCCTTCCAATGGCATTGTTCAGAGTAGCCCAGTGCTGCCCATATGTTGGAAATACCCAGATGTCAGAACATGACCCCTCCTGCCTGTCAGAGCTACGGCTCCAGCACTCAGAAAGGTGAGCAAGAAAGAGACAAAGCTCGGTATGCTGGCAAAACCTGGAGAAGGACTGGGAGGGAAAACAGAGAAATGAGCCAAGATACATGGCTGTCTTTGTTTTTAAGGGCTTTCAAAGGGGAGGTACAGAATGCGGATCAGCACAGGTCGGGGGTGAGGGAGCAGATGGGAAATCTCTGTACCTTTCTCTCGATTTTGCTCTGAACCTAACACTGCTCTAAGAAAATTAATAAGTCCTAAAAAGCAAAACAAAACAAAGAATGGGACCTCGGCAAGGAAGCTAGGGGCTTTCCCGTAGGCCACATCCAAGCGGCAGAGAGAATGGCGTCGGGGAGTGACCACCGCTACTGTAATAAGCAGGATCTTACAAATCCATATATGTGGCTGTTTGATATACAAGACATGAAAATGCATTTACTAGGGACGTAAAGGTAACCTGGTGCAATGTTGACCGCAAAGAATGTACTCTCGGGGTGTTCAGTGAATTGAAAGGTCCCCTTCCTACTCACCAGGGAGGAAAAATTGGGACCTTTGAATCATTGGCAAGAGAAAGTAAAATCAAAAAGTTCTTGCCTCAAAGTTTAGAGCACAGTATAATGGAGCATATAGTTTTCAGTTAATTCCCCAGCGATGCTAAATGATAGCAACTTCAGGTCCAGAAAGCTCAGCAGCTTTTTAACCCCCAAAATGAACCACTAGCCTTAAAATGGGCTGAAGCTATAGTGTTTATCTCAGGGTACATGGTTAACCCCCAGCTCGCAGGCTCTGCTGTGCATAGGTCCATGAGGAGAGCCCTCTGGATCAGCACTCAGAAAGCCCTGAGCCACTGGGTATGTCCTGGATCTTCCAGCAGTTACAGCACCAAACCTGCTCCTTGCAACTTCCATCGGTGTCTGGGTACCAGATGGGGAGGCTCACAGATTCTGCATCCTTCGCTAGTCCTAACTGTGTAGCACAATTTGCTGACCAGAGCCCACTTTTTTTTTTCTTAATTTTATTTGTTCATGAGAGACACAGAGAGAGGCGAAGGGCGAAGACACAGGCAGAGGGAGAAGCAGGCTCCACGCAGGGAGCCCGATGCGGGACTCCATCCTGGGTCCCCAGGATCAGGCCCTGGGCCAAAGGCAAGTGCTAAACCGCTGAGCCACCTGGGCTGCCCTTCTTTTCTTTTCTTGTCTTTTTCTTTTCTTTTCTTTTCTTTTTTCTTTCTCTCTCCCTTCCTTCCTTCCTTCCTTCCTTCCTTCCTTCCTTCCTTCCTTCCTTCCTTCCTTTTCTTTCTTGGCTCAAATGCCCAGTGTGAAGCCCTATATGAGGCTTGAACTCATGTCTCTGAGATCAAGACCTGAACTGAGATCAAGAGTTGGATGCTCGACCCCCCAAGCCCCCCCCCCCACTTAACACCCATTTCAAACATAGACGGGCTCTATGACAAACATGTTGAACCCCAGCCCCGAGTGCCTTACACTCCCATCCTAGGTCTGTACCTAACTAACCACATGGGCAGGGTCTTCCCAGGAGGCTATTCTCTTACCTTTAAAGATCCGCCTCTGAGATCCCAAGAGTTGGCAGGCCTCGGCAGAGGAGCTACAGGAGTTGACACATTTCTGCATCCCGTCGGCCAGGTCAAACAGTGTCACGTTGGAGGCCAAGGAGAAGGTGGTTTGCAGGGACATGACCACTGCATTGGACTCCCTATTGGCAAAGTGTGTGGGTTTTTAATTGTCCTCAAATGACATGTAGGCCCCAGGGCTTGTGGAAAGAACATGCATCTCCTTTCTCCAGGAAGGAAAAGGGAGAGCATGGAGGTCCAGGGACCTTGGCCCCGGGTCACTCTGTGGCTTGGTCAAAACAGGGCCCAGTTTTGTTGCTGTCGCCTACGTTATGATGGCCTCCCCTTTGTTGTAGACTGGTTCACAAGTAATTCCGTCGCTTACCTAGAAGCATGAACTGTGGATCGGGTGTAACCAGGTAACGTTGAAAAACACATATTTAACTGAAAGGAAGAACAGGATGGTCGTTAACTGTGAGTTAGATAAAAGCCTTAGACCTAGAACCAATTTCCTATTTTCAGGATAAAATAGGCATTTTCCAGCCATCAAGTTATCAGCAGGCAGCTTTACAGAGGAGTGGTGTCCTTTTTTTTGTTCCCTTCTTAAATGCCTCCCTGCTCTTGTTCTGTTGTTCTCTGAGTACAAAGGGAGAGAGGCAGATAGTAAATCAGTGGGGAAAATCTTGGCAGGAAATGATGTTCAGAACAGCACCCTTGGATGCAAAACATCTTCAAAGGAACAGATCTCTTCTAAGACCCAGGGTTTCAAAAACTCAGAGGCAACTGTTTATTTGGACTTTGCAGAGTGAACAAGGTTCACTGAAAGAGGCTTCAGCTACCCCAGGTCTGGCAGGCCCGACACAGACCCTCATAATCTACAGTGAGTTGACCTAACTCAAAGATAGGTCCTCTTCAAAAGGGCTCTCCATGGGAAATCACATTACGTGGGTCAAGAGCCCCTTTTTGGAGAGCAAATTAAGAATGACTCTCCCTGTGTTTGCCTTGTGCCCTCAGAGAGAGCGGAAAATCCCTCTAGGGCATAAAGTTCCATGCCTGCTTTTCTGCTGCCCCGACAGTAGGGGCTTCGGAAGGTCACAGTACCTTGACCTGTGCAGCGTGCCTGTCTGCAAAGCCGGTGTGTCAGGCACACTTTACTCTTCATAAGATGGATTCAAACATAGGATGTTATCAAACCCTTTTTCGCCTTGTGGGACATTGCTCTATATTCTGACGGGCAATGATTTATTAGTATAATGATTTTAAACTTCTTTTTCCCAGGGGAAAAAGAGAAAAGGCATATTTCAGAACAGAATGGCATCTTGGGGAAGGCCACTTAAGTGGCTTCTCTAGTTACTGCTTAAATCTTCACTTTTCTTGGGACTGGGGATGTCATATCACCAATAAATTATACATTCATACTAGGTGAAAATGAACAAGTCAGGTTAGTCACTGAGCGCCGTATACTGGGAAGGACTGCATCTCTGCCCAGGGTTCTAAGCCCCTGTACTACCCAAGAAGGAAATATTGACCTCCAGTACAACCAAGAGGCAGCTGTGCTGGAGTGACAAGAACACCAGGTATAGGATTAGTAGACATAATATCCTGCTGTATAGTAAAGAATTTAACCTCATACAAAGAGAGGTCTGGCCCTTGGCTTCCAGGAAGTAATCAATAAGCTTTTGGAACGTCTTGCCTTTGTCTACCTGGAGGCCTGGCCACTCCAAATATCTAACAATGTGACTTATGTGGGGGCTTTGGGTTATATGGTATCAGCCTGACCTCCAAAGGGACTGGAGGCTGAGGCCAGCCATACAAGCAGTTGGCTATGTCCACATATTGGCTCTAGGCATCAAGGTTCAGGGGAGCTTCATTGGTTAGCAATACTCCATGAATATTGTATACATCATTGCCAAGGGGAGTTAATACAATACAACACATGGGGAAAAGACAACTGGAAGCATCAAACTTGGAATCCTCCTTGACTTCGCCCCATGTCTCTTTCTTATGGCTGATTGTAACCTGGACCTTTTCACTGTAATAAACTACAACTGTGAGTTTAACAGCTGTCAGTGAGGTCTGAGTCATTACAATGAATTATCAAATCTGAGGGTGGTCTTGGGGATCTTCAAACTTGCAAATGGTGTCAGCAAAGGGGATAGTCTAGTGGACTAGTCCCTAACTTTGCACCTCTCTGTGTGAACTCAGGCCTCCCACTCTTTTAGCTGTAAAGGTGTCACTTTTATAGGAGTGAGGCATCTGGCAAAGTGCCTGTCATAGAGTAGATGCTCAGTTAATATAGAAATGGAATTGAAATCTAAATTTTATTTTATTTTATTTCTTAAAAGATTTAATTTAAAAAAAAGATTTATTTATTCATGAAAGACACAGAGAGAGCAGCAGAGACATAGGCAGAGGGAGAAGCAGGCTCCCCTCGGGGACCCTCATGTGGGACTCGATCCCCAGACCCTGGGATCATGACCTGAGTCAAAGGCAGACAGATGCTCAACCACTGAGCCACCCAGGTCCCCCTGGAATCTAAATTTTCCACAAATAAATTCTACAGTCCTATAAAACCCTATAGGTTTTGGCTAATATACTCTTAGCCATAAAGAGCAAGTAAAGATGAGGAATCAAAGGCCCCTAGATAATCTATGCAGGGAATTCTCAAGCCTAGAAAATCAGGATGAACTGTTATGCCTTTGGCATTGCCCCGAGGAAAAAAAAAGCATTCTTCTCCCCAAGTTTGGAAACACAGAGAGAAAGTCACACAGCATGTCGAATGCAGATGGAATAGTAGGATTTTCTGGATCTTTCCTCATTGCCAATAGTTCTTATTGGTACATACCATCTAACCATCTGTGACTATCAGTCTGCACATGGAAAAGAAATGCCAAGGCACTGGTAAAGGGTGCATGTGAGGGCACATTGAAGAAACGCTTCTATTGGCACCAGTGGTTCTCAGCACCTCCCTTCTATTTCTGAGCAGCTTTTAATTTTATCATGACGTTTCCCTTCCAAATATAATGGAAATGAACATCTTAGGAGATATAGCTGATCTCCATGAGGTTCCCAATTCTGAATGAAATCTGTTCTAGAAAACAAAGGACTTGAAAGAAGATGCCTCTCACGAAACTTACTGTTTTGGTGATCTCATTTTCAACTTCATGTAGGTCTGCATGTTTCTCCATGGTGGTATTGAGAAATGTTTTCTTTAATTTGAACTCTGTCACAAAGGTTCTAACTGAAAATGAAAACACAACCCGTTAGACCACGCGACGGGCCAACCTATGCATGGCTGCGTGTTTGTGAATCTCTGGTGTATCACTCTTTCCTCCACCTCGCAGGACAATCTTGGTGCATGTCCTTCTTGAGGGGAGAGAACCCCTCTCCCTCTTCTAGCTCTGCTCTAGGAAGATGGGCGCCTGGTTGAGCTGAGCAGGAGGCTCGGACAGAGTCAACCTTTGAGTCAGAAACTCCAAGGAGCCTTTTGCATGTGTGCACGGGTTGCTGTGAGGAGCCACCCCGACACCTCTCTAGTGGCCTCCTACATAATCGATGCTACAAAGTTGTGACAAGGAAGAAAGACCAGTTGGCTTAAATGACATAACCCCAAGAGGAGGGGAGGGGATGTGGGGTCAGGCCTGAGAAAACTCTCGACAGAGGAACACTCTTGTCCTCTTGGCCCAGACTGTGAAGCCCTCAGCTTCAAGGACATGCTTTGATTTCCTCTTCTGGTCAGTGTCACCCCACCAGCCCCCATCCCTCTCGCTCAGAGGAAATGCCCATTTTATCACTGATGAAAGAGACTTCCAGAAATCAGCTCACTGACTCAGGACAACCAGGGGTGCTATGGAGGAAGGTGTCAAACATCCTCCACTCTGGGGGCTGCCAGGCCCCACAGTCACAAGCCATGCAAGGCAAATGCCCCATATTCAAGATACTGCTGAGATCAGGCCTGAAAGAAAGCAGCCCCGTTTTCAGGGCCCATTTCACTCATAAAATAAACTTGTACTTAATATCAATTTGTGCTGCCTGGGCCTGGGAGGCAGGAGGGATGGATCTTACAAACGGGCAGGCGACAAATAATTAGTATACCCTGCTTTCTATCTGCCTCTTATCTTCCTTTATATTAAGTTCTTATCTTTCCCTCTGGACAGGGGGAAAGAAAGACCCCAAACCCAGGAACCCACGAAGCTGCTCTATCACAGAAAGCTTGTCTGCTGAATTAAGAAAAAGGCCCACAAATGAGCCAGGGAACACATTTAACATCTTATACTTACTGTCTAAAGCCCTTAATCCTTATTTAACATCTTTTTGCTTGTTCTACAGTTCAGTGAAGCCAGCTGCTCAGGACTCTTTCTGAGCAGCAGGGAGCTCTTTGAAAACATTCTTGGCCAAATGAAAGCATTTCAGCATGCTCTAATTTGCATGTTCCTCTGATGTTTATGAACAATGAAGCTAAATGACTTGAAAAGGGAAAGATGATTGTTAACACAAAAGAACGGCTCTCCCCCTGATCCGTGGAGCTTGGGGGACACTCTGGCACACAGGCTTCCAGAAACACCACCCTGCTCCTTCATCTTCCCTTTCCAACTGGTCCGGGCTGATACCCAGACTCTCTGGATGGAAATACACGTCTTGTGAATGTTAAGTGCACAGACCCCCTCCCGAGTCATGACGTACATGTGGCCTCTGCTTTCAGTGCAGCCAGGAAGACGGCCACACGCAGCGTCCTCCGGGCCCCCACACCCTGCCTGGCACACTGACGTCTTCGTGCCTACCTTCCATCATCTGGCTTTAAGGCGATTTTCTACTTCACATTCAACTGTTGATTTGCATGGGTTCTATAAATGATTTTTAAATTATTATTTATTTTTTATTTTATGAAGTTTTAAACTTCAATTCCAATATAATGAAGGTAGTGTTGTATTAGTTTCAGGTGTACCCTACGGTGACTCAAGGATCTGACTCAACAATCGATCTGGCTCAACAATCATGTGCATCACTCATGCTCATCAGGACCAGCGCCCTCCTCCATCCCTATCCGCTATGTCACCCATCCCTCCACCCCCTCTCCTCTGGTAACCATAAGCTTGTTCTCTATAATTAAGAGTCTGTTTCTTGGTTTCTCTCTCTCTCTCTCTCTCTTTTATATAAATGATTTTTTTTTAAGATCCATAATTATTACGTTGTATTCAGAGTACTTCATGTTTTCGTTGCTTTCAATTCTGGTCCAAGAGGTTGGGGACTAAACGATACCTCCCGTCTGGAGAACTCTACCATTTTCAAAGCTTGCTCAGAGACTTTATTTCATTTGATCTTCACAATAACCTTGAGTGGGAAGCAGAGCAGGTGGTAATCTGATTTTACAGATGAGAAAATTAAGGCTCAGGAGTCATGTGCCGAAGGTGGTGGCTCTGGAGCTGGAAGCTGGGCAGTGGGGGGTTCCTGGCAAGGCCGTTTTCAACAGTGCTTCAAAACAAAATCATTCCAGCTTCTCCATTCTTTTTTTTTTTTTTTTAAGATTTTATTTATTTATTTGAGAGAGAGACAGAGAGTGAAAGCATGAGTGGCGGGTGACAGGGAAAGGAAAAGCAAACTCCCCGCTGAGTGGGGTGCCCGACCTGAGGAGCCTGGCCTAGGGAGGCTGACCTGGGGAGGCCGACCTGGGGAGGCCGACCTGGGGAGCCCGGCCTGGGGAGCCCGGCCTGGGGAGCCCGACCTGGGGAGCCCGCCTTGGGAGCCCGGCCTGGGGAGGCCGACTTGGGGAGCCCAGCCTGGGGAGGCCGACCTGGGGAGCCCGACCTGGGGAGCCCGACCTGAGGAGCCTGACCTGAGGAGCCCGACCTAAGGAGCCCGACTCAGGGTTTGATCCCAGGACCCTAAGATCTTGACCTGAGCCAAAGGCAGATGCTTAACTGACGGGGCCGCCCAGGCGCCCCAGCTTCTCCATTCTTAAACTACAGACTCCTGGCCTATTTCTTCCAGGGTGTAGCTAAATGGAATAGGTTACCCCAAACAAATAAACTATTAGAGTTTGGACAGTCTAACAGTTTAGACTATTAGAATATAGACAGATGTCTATTTTCCTAGATTTTTTTTCTTTAAATCATGCTTTGACTCGATCCTTGTATTTTAAACAATTTCCAAAATTCTACCACTATTTTTGTAAGGTACTAAGTGTTTGAAATACATTTCTAGGCCCAAGATGGAGCTGCTCCTGCCCAGGGTGACACGTCGGCAAACCGAACCTTCGAGTCCTCTAAACGCTCCCGTGACCAGAAATGTAGTGTATTCAGTCAGCCAATCCCCCAATGCCAAGTCCACTCTGGGCTCTGTACTCACTCCCTTGTTCTTAATCTTTCTAAACAAGGTCACATATGCAACCCTGGCCAGTCATGCCCTGTTTCAGAAGTGATGCCGCTTCTCATCCTTGCCAGACCCCTCAGGGACAGAGCTCTACTGCTTGGGAGGCCCCCGACTCCCCCAGTCCACGGCTGTTCTCCCTTAAATAAAGGACATCAAATTCATTATCCAACCGTTTTGTTTTGTCATCTGACACAACCTCCCTAAAAAAATCTGATGATTCCCCTCAGCCTGTGGGCAACAGGAATTCATGCAAATAACACTTTTCAAAGGTCACAGACGTTTGTTCTCTCAAAAAAAAAAAAAATTTACTGAGCACGTTTTGTGTGTTAAGTCTCACACTGTTCAGTTTAGGATGACTCAAAGATGAGTCACTTTACCTGCCAGTTTCCTTATCCAGCTGAGATCACTCTATGTTCTGCACTTCTAATCTCTGCAACAAGTTATGTATTGAACTCAACACGCTAAAGCAGAGTTATGCCCTGTGTGCAAGGAAGCTCTCACGATGAACACATTATCATGTGATGGGAGTTGTGGGCTGGAACGTGGCCTCTCAAAAATCAGGTGTTCAAGCTTGGTCACTTAGCCCCTTGTCAGGACCTTAATTTTCATTTGTGTTTGCTTTTTAACCTGTAAGCCAGAGATTATATCTAAAATCAACCAGCTTTAAGACAAATTAGGGAATGAAATAGGACCAATTATATGGTTGGTATACAATTAACAGCAACTTTTTTTGTTTTGTTTTTTTAAGGTTTTACTTATTTATTCATGAGATACACAAAGAGAGAGGCAGAGACATAGGCAGAGGGAGAAGCAGGCTCCCCCGCAGGGAGCCCGATGTAGGACTCGATCCCGAGACCCCAGGATCATTATTTTACCCAAAGGCAGGCGCTCAACCACTGAGCCATCCAGGCGCCCCACTAACAGCAGCTCTGTAAAAATGTATCTGCCTAGGGACAGGACCGTGAAGATCATTTTTAAAAAGAAAAAGAATGAATAAAAAAATAAAAAATAAAAAGAATGTGTGAATATGGCAGGATAATCAGGGTTTTATTCTCTCTTAAAAAGTTTTTTTATGATGTACTTAGAATATCCTTTTGACACATATTTTTTCCTAACTGCAGGTAGGATGGTTAGGCAAATAGTGTTGTGCACAAATAATGACATGTCTGTGCAGTCCTTAGGAAGTTTGTGTGATATTTTTAATAACATGGAACAATGTTTAAGATATAAAGTTTGTACAAATACCACGGTTTCTACTATACAAAAATATAATGCACACTAAGAAAGACTGCAAATAAGGTGCTATATCTCTGAGTGATTGAAAAATAGTCAGCAATTTCACCCCTTTCTGTATTTTTTAAGTTCATGCCTTGGACAAATACCAATTTTGTTCAGGGAGGAAAACGATAAATGTTATTTTAAAACATATACTGTGGTACAGAATAAATTCCAAGACAGATTCATTCTCTTACCCAAATTGCATATTCCTTTTTCCAGCTGGTACCCAACTGGGCATTTGCAGGTGAAGGATCCCTGAGTATTATTGCATGTGGCCAGGGGTGGGCAGGGGCTCAAGAGGCATTCATTCACATCTGCAGAGGAGAGAAAACAGGGCCCTACTGGGTCTGCAGCAGACAGCAAAATCATTATCCAGTATGGTAAGCACCAACTAAGAGCCGAATGGCACGATGTGCGGTAGGGTCCCAGGGATAAGGAGGATGCTACCCTTGACCTTGAGGGACTGCCAGTCTGCTGAGGGTGGAGGCAGCCATGTATACAGCTGACTGTAAATACGAATCAGGACTTGGAAGTACAGAAAGAGTAAAAGATTTTGACGGAAGGGAGAATTGAGGACCGTTTCCAATAACATCTGAACTAAGACTAGAAAGACTTTAGCAAGCAGATGGGGGGAGTGGGGGTGTAGCCTAAGGCACCAGCACAGCGAAGGCCAGAGGCAGGAAAGCGTAGGGGTCTTTCAGGAGCTGTAGGTGGTCCAGAGTGGCAGGGGTGTAGGGAGCCCCCAGAATGGAGCCAGATTGTGGAGGTTTGTCAGTTCCATCATCTGACGTTATTCTGCAGACAACACGTAATGCATGCTAGAGAACTCTCCAAGAAGCAGGGGATGAACTTAAACAAAATCTTACTCTCCTACCTTCTGAAGGGAAATAGTGTCTTTGCCTATCTCAATGAGATCGTCTGGTACAGACCCTTGGAGATGACTTTTGCTCTTACCCACACTGCAGTCATCCCCTTGCCAGGAAGGTGAGCATTCGCATCGATACCCATGGCTGGTGGAGTCCACAATGCATTTCCCATCATGAAGACAAGGGTTAGTGGCGCAGCTGTTAACTAAAAACACATTCCGGGAATAAGGCAGTTAATCACATAGGAAATGTAAAAGCAGCTCTAGATAAATATTTAATTCTTCTGGCTAATATTTGATTTTTGCTTATTTCTGTTTACTTGCCCTGAAAGGTCACACTACTAAAATAGAACGGGTTCCCGGGGGGGGGGGGGGGAGTGCAGAAGAGATGCCGTGGGACTGGATCCTGGTACAAGTTCATGTGCATACACATGCGTAAGACAACTGGATCCCTGAATGCAAGAACTAGTTCAAATCCAAATGCTGTTTACAGGTCGCTCAGTTCAGGACTGATATTACATTGTCTCCCATGCTTAGAAAATTCTGCTTGAATCCATGCCAATTTAAAACACACGTCGGGGGGCAGAGGTCCCTGATTACCCATCCTCTCTGCTCTAGGACTCCCCCTTCCCGAAAAAAAAAATCTCAAAATATAACTGGGCCTTCACATCTGGTGCAATCGTTCAGAAAAGCAATCAAAGTTGTGTACTCCAGTGCCTTCTCTTAATATAACGTGACGATGAGCCCTATCTGATTCATCTGGGCCCTAACGGTGCCCAGGCTTCAGCGTCACCTTGGACTTCCAGCTCTCTGGGCAGAGACCACAACTCTCTGTCTTGGTGTCAACAACCAGCCTTGTCATGCTCCAGCTATGCAATAACTGCCGAAACCCACAAGATGACCGCATCACTTCCAAGCAGAAAAATCTGCTCGGTAGAAAGAGAAAAAGAAGGCAGAAGTCAAGAGTTTGTAACACCAAAAAAATAACCCCGAAGTCAAATGAGCTAACCCTAAAGATGTTGTCCCTAGTCCGCAAGGCTACTTTGAATATACCTGAAACTACCCAGAGGAGCACAGCACCTACATAACCAAACACTGTGCCGTAGATACTGTCATAAAACCCATATTACCAGCCAGTAGTGATGCTACTAATTCTCCCCTACAGTTACCACTATAATGACCATAATCGGCTTGAAGGGGGGATTTGTGATGTACACTCTATCTGGTATTGGAATATATTTGGCTAGAAACGAAGCCCTGTGAGTCCCGAAGCAGGGCTCCCAATCTCCCTGCAGAAGAATCCACCTTACATCTCCCAGGGGTGCTCGGGTCGCCGGCACAAAGGAGGCAATGCGGGGTGTGGGGGGCTGGTGGCAGGGAGGTCATGGCCCTCCAGCCCTCCGGCCGACCGTGGTTGACTGGCCGGAACTCGGGCCCCAACTGAGCCCCTGCTCTAGTCCCGACAAAGCCTTTCTCTCCTTTCCTCCTTCCTTACAGTGTCAGTCTCCACAGCACCCCTGCACCAACAGCAGTTTTCCTTTCCTGGGTCCCGACGAGCCAAACGTACATTCTGAAGATGACATGGAAAGCTGGATCACTCTAATCCCTTCCACCTTTCCTTAAATGATGAAGAGGCATGTGAGTGGCTTTAGTCTCCTCGTACCAGCCACTTTGCCACAAACAGAAAGATAAGCTCAAGGGCAAGGTGAGGAGCTCGGGCCTCCCTGTGTTAGTTCATTCTCTTATGGAACATGTCCCTTTACCTGCATCTATCAACTGGCAACACGTTCTCGGGAAGACCAAGGATCCTGGGCTTCCCTTGGATCCAGAGAAGCCTTCCCAGCGACTGAGAAGCTCAGGGCTCTGACCTGGGAAGGGGGTGCACTCCCTCCGTGTCTCAGAAAGGCCGCCTGAAGCTTCTCCGTGGCATCTTTTCCACCATCCGATCCTACAATGCAGCCCTGCTCCAGCCTCGGAAAACTTCAAGGCATCTTCGAAGGCTCTTGCAACTTGGGGCATGACAAACTACAAAGGCACTGTCTACAGACACCGCACACAGCCAATGGCATCCTCCCCTCTTTCCTTAGGAAGTATTATGTGACTTGGGCGAGAACATGAGGTCCACGTGCTATTATCTTAGGAGGCGACAACACAGACACTGACCTATTGCAAAGAGCAGCCCCTGCCACACACTCACACAAATCCCAAGCCTGTGCAGCTCACAGTGTGCGTGTGCGACTGTCTTTTACCTGAGGCTGGAGATGACAATGCTTTTGGTGGCTGCGTGCTGCTCTGAGCAGCAAAGGTGGTAGATTCAGAAGGCAGTACTTCGAGCGTGGAAACGCCTGTGGTTTGGGGAGATGTTCTGAGGAAATGTGAAGCCGGGCTGTACTCTTCGGTCACACCAGGCCCTGGGGTCAATCCTTTTGGTGATGTGGGTGCACTGGTCAGAGGGGTCAATGGGCTGGTACCATCGACATGGATCTGGCTCCTTTCTGTGGTGACGGCACTTTCTGTTGAGCTCCGTGGTGCCAGAATTTCAGGGCTGGTTGTCAAGGGCTGGTTTTCAGCCGTGGTCTGTACTGTTGTGGGGTGAGCCATCAGAGCTGCTGTGGTTGATGCAGGGCTGAAGGGACGAGAGGTCTCGAAAACAGTGGTTGTCAATGCTGGAGATGTCGGGGTGATGCTGGTGCTCGTGGCTGCAAGGGTTTGCAGAGTGGAGGACTCTGTTAAGGTCGAGGGCGTAGGGAGCCCTGAAGTAGACCTCGTTGTTACAGTTCTGGTGGCCTCTGTGGGCAGAGACGGCAGGCTTGGTGGCTTTGACTCTATAATGACTTTGTCATGGTATGGGTTACTCTGGTTCTTAGGATCTGCCGTTTGAGTACTGGGTAGCATTGCCACAGATAATGCCACTGTCTCCATCTGAACCGAAGTCACAGTAGTGTCTCTTGCCCTGGTGAGGACCAGGGTAGAAGGTGAAGGTGGGAGGGTTGTTTGGGAGGCAGATGGTGACGCAGGAGTAGACGCTGTCAGGGATATTGGGAAGGGTGGTGGCAAGGAAGACATAGGTGTGGGTGCCTCGGGAGTGGACTGCAGTGGAAGGGTGGAGGCCCCAATTGATGGTAAGACTGAGGACAACAACTGATGGGCCTGGGACACTGAGGCCAGGGGCGAAAGGGGTCCAGAAGAAGAAGAAGAAGAAGAAGAAGAAGAAGAAGAAACAGAAGAAGAAGAAGAAGAAGAAGAAGAAGAAGAAGAAGAAGAAGAAACAGAAGAAGAAGAAGAAGAAGAAACAGAAGAAGAAGAAGAAGAAGAAACAGAAGAAGAAGAAGAAGAAGAAGAAGAAGAAGAAGAAGAAGAAGAAGAAGAAGAAGAAGAAGAAACTGAAGAAGAAGGAACAGAAGAAGAAGAAGAGTCATCATCCATCGATCTGGCCTCAGTGTCCAGAAGAACCAAAGTGTTTGGCATGTTAACGGTGGGTGTGGAGGATGGAACGTTGGCTGTTCTCAGAGCCAGCGACTCCGTGGCGGGCTGAGCACGCTCCCTTTCATAGGATGACACGTTACTTCTTTCAGTCAGAGCCTGAGAAGAGGAGAAATGGTCTGAGTGTGAAGAGTTGGAGATCCTAGCAGCAGAGGTGGAACTCTCCGGTAAGTCCGCCGATGAGCTGTTGTCTATAATGGAAAGCAACACCCGTTCTCCTTTGGTGAAAGTGGATGAGACATAGGTGTGGTCTGTGTGGTCACTGGAAGTCCTCTGTTCAGTGTCCGTGCCACTCACTCCACTGTCGCTGACTCCGGTGACTGCAAATGGAAAAACCAAGGTCAGAAACAAGAAATCTCCCAGACACGTACGAGACGCTCTCTTTGGAGAGGTGGTTTTGGATGGCGAGCCCTGGGGACGCACCGCTGTGGGAAGGTGGCGGGCGGTGGGGGGACATGGCAATAATAAGAGGAGGGGGGCCGGGGCAGAAGGATGGGGAACAGGTCCAAATTCCTTCCACATGCCTTTTTTGATAAAAGCAAATTGGTATCTGAAAAGCTCTTAAGACCCCACTAGAACAATTGTTATGTCTAAATGGAAAAAGGAAAACCCTCCCAATTTTCCATTCTGTATAATGATAATGAGATATTTCTTTCCCAGGAGATTGACTTTGGCCACAACTGGCTGGTCTCCTTTATTCCAAGCATCCTGGCAGACATGGCTTAGGCGAGTGTGTGTGTGTGGGTGTGGGGTTGTGTGTGGGGGGGTAGGGCGGGTAGGAGAACCTGGCACGTTCCCTTCAGATGGAGCTTCTGGGGTGACAGCAATCTCAATCCTTCCAGGCTGTGGGTACACCGGGGTGGGGGGGAGCTGAGGGAGCCTCTCACCTCCCGGGGCTGGCGAGGCCGCCCGTGAACCCGAGACCAGGCGGGCGTCACCAGTCACGGCCACGTCCCCTTGCGGGGTGGCGCCGTCGGTCTCCCCAGGCACGACGGCAGAGCGCCCCACGTCCCCAGAAGTCGTGCTGGCGTTGGCGAGAGACCGCAGCGTGCGCTCCCCGTTCCGGGTGAAGGTGGCAGCCGTGTGCGGGGGGTGGGCCTGCGCCGTCCTCTCCTCCACGTCCGAACTGCCTCCGGGCTCTGCACCGTCCTCGGTGGCTACGTGGGGATTGAACGGGACAGTGGGTGAGTGGATGGGAGGGCACCGGGCGGGCTCCCAGGACGGGGCCTGGCTCCCTGCCCTGACGTCGCTGCCCTGCGCTTTCCCAGGCCCGCACGGGAGACTCCGGTGGGAAACCACCATGCGTCGTTCCCTGCAAACACCGGTCACGACCCAACCCCAGGAGGCCCCGCAGGGCACCACATCCATTCAGCCGACCTCGATTTATGGGAATGTTTACCGCGTCAGTGAACGGGATCAATACTGTATTTCTGCTCGGTGGTACACAATAATGGACTTTATGGCAGGGGAATCGGTGGTGGCGGCGCGGAGGCGAACACTCAGCAAAAGACTAACCACCCCACCCAGGCTTTCGACTTTCTGAGGCCCAGGAGGGAGACCCCATCACTCCGAAGGCTTTTCCCTCCTAATAGGGCCAGTAATACCCGAACTGACGTGGATTTATCATTCCTTTAGAGTGTTCGTTTTTTTCTCTTAATGCGTTAGTGAGAAATGCACAGTGGTTGGAGGGTAAAGATGGGCTTATTTTCTGCTCTGTGTTATTTTTGTTCTTTTTTTTTAATTTTTAAAAAGGATTTTATTTTATTTATTTATTTTTAAAGATTTTATTTATTTATTCATGAGAGACACAGAGAGAGCTGCAGAGGCACAGGCAGAGGGAGAAGCAGGCTCCATGCAGGGAGCCCGACATGGGACTCGATCCTGGGACCCCAGGATCACGTGCTGAACCGAAGGCAGATGCTTAACCACTGAGCCACCCAGGCATCCCTTAAAAAAGATTTTAGGGACACCTGGGTGGCTCAGTGGTTGAGGCACTGCTTTAGGCTCAGGGCATGATCCCGGTGTCCCGGGACTGAGTCCCGCATCGGGCTCCCTGCATGGAGCCTGCTTCTCCCTCTGCCTGTGTCTCTGCCTCTCTCTGTGTCTCTTGTGAATAAATAAATAAAATCTTTAAAAAAGGGATTTAAAAATATTTTTTTTAGATTTTATTTATTTGAGAGAGAGAGGGAGAGTGTACACACAAGTGTGCATGTACAAGCAAGGGGTGGTGGGGGAGGAGCAGAGGGGACGGAGAGGGAGAGAGAATCTCCAGCAGATTCTCTGCTGAGCCTGGAGCCCCGCCCGGTGCTCAGTCTCACGGCCCTAAGATCATGACCTGAGCCAAAACCAAGAGTTGGACACTTAACTGACCGAGACACCCATGTGCCCGGATTTTTGTTTCCTTAATGTATTTGTTTATTTTCTCAGTGGGAATGGAATAGGGACAAGTGACGCATGAATAAATATCCTTTTCCTCCTTTCTTGGGTGTATGTTTTATGCTATGAGCTCAAAGAATCTTAGATTAGATTATCAAATAAACTCTTCTTCTCAGAAATTATGGAAATGAGGTCCAACTCTTCTGGGCCTAAATACTTCATAATCTGGTTCTATGAGAAAAAAAAGTTCTTTTGTTGTTGTTGTTTAAAAAAAGATTTTATTTATTTATTCATGAGAGACACAGAGAGAGAGGCAGAGACACAGGCAGAGGGAGAAGCAGGCTTCATGCAGGGAGCCCGATGTAGGACTCGATCCTGGGACCCCGGGGTCATGCCCTGGGCCGAAAGCAGAGCTTAACCACTGAATCATCTAGGTGTCCTAAGAAAAAAAGTTCTTTCCCTGGTTCTTATTCCTGTTCCCAGATCAGACTTTTTTTTTTATTTTTTTATTTTTTAGTTTATTTATTTACTTATGTAACCTCTACACCCAACATAGGGCTCGAACTCATGACCCCAAGATCAAGAGTCGCATGCTCTACTGATTGAACTAGCCAGGCACCCCCAGACTAGCTCTCCATATCCCATGGACACACCCTGATGTAAAAGAGAGGTAAAGCTGCATGTTAGGGAAGTTCACTTCACGATAGGTTTGCATTAACTGATAGGAATGAGTGTGGGGACGGGGCTACACAGTGACCCGGGGCAGCCCTGAGACAGCTGGGAAGCAGGGAGAGATGTGACCTGACCAGGCTGAAGGGCTTGGGAAGTCCACCAGGAGAGGCTTAAGGGCTGAGCGTGTCTGAGCACGATTTCCCCGGGCACAAGGGGCCCTGGGGTGGGGAGTCTTATAATCTTAAATAGCATTTAGGTAAACGACCCCATCAGGCTAACAGAGTTAAGAAAAAGTGGAGTCGTGGCCTGAAACAGAGGAGCTGCCTCCAAACCCAGAAAAAGGAACAGGCCAAGAACTCGGACAGGCCGCATGCCACAACGAGGCCACTTCGAGTGATTCAGAGCAAAGAGAAAGTATTAGGTTAATTGATAATGAGTCGGTTTGGAGAATGGGGCTACTCCTTATCTGGCTCTTTATTTCTGAGCCCTAAGAGCCGCTCACACTGAGCTCACATTTCCCGCACAAACCAACTGAGCTCGCACCACGGATTGAAGGGCACTCGTGCTAAGGAGATGCACACGGGAAAGGCCACGGCACCTAATCTCCCCATCTGAGAAGGAAAACACTCTGAGTCCCCACATCGCGGGGGAGGAAAACAAATCCTTGTTTGGGAGACAGATGATGCACTTTCCATGCACACACATGAGAAAGCATAATATTCTCCACCCACACACGTGGTACTGTTTCATGATAAACATTCGCTCTTCCACAGTCACATCACAATAGCATTATTCATGATCGACAAACACTGGGAAAACCCCACACGTGCAATAACTGATAAAAGGGTAAACTAGGGCAGCCTGGGTGGCTCAGCGGTTGAGCACCGCCTTCAGCCCAGGGCGTGACCCCGGAGTCCCGGGATCGAGTCTAGTGTTGGGCTCCCTGCGTGGAGCCTGCTTCTCCCTCTGCCTGTGTCTCTGCCTCTCTGTGTGTGTCTCATGAACAAATAAATAAATATTTAAAAAAATAAAAATAAAAGGATAAACTAAACGTGGCAGGTGCGCACAACGGAGTAGTACTCAGCCATGCGAAGGGAGGAAGTACGGATACAGGCTACCGCCGGGATGAGCTCTGGATACAGTACGCTGAGCGGAAGACACAGGAGGGCACCCGTGGGGAGGTGGTATTTTCACCTTCCAGAAGCTGCGTGATTGAGGGGACCGGGGGCGTGGGGAAGACTGCAGGGAATGCAAGGACACGACGGGGTCCCTGAGCCGTGTGCGGAGGCACCGGCGGTGAGAGCAGCTCCCGGGAGACGACCCCGGCCACCACCGGGCCTAGCCGGCTGGAGGGGCCTGAGAGCAAGGAGAGCGGGGCCTCTGGAGCTGCCCTGCCCACGCGGCCTCCCTGGGCCCCGTGTCCCCCCCCCCCCAGCCTCAGCCCCAGCCCTGCACATCTGCGGGGACACTCACTGGAGCGCTCGTCACGCTGCGCCGAGGCAGCCAGGCTCTCTGAGGAGGAGGAGGACAAAGACTCGGTGGCCGGCCCAGCGTGGCTCCTCCTGCCCAGCGCCGGGTCGCCTCCCCTAGACCGGGGGGCGGAGGAGGACAGGAGGGCGTCGGGCTGGGAAGTGGAGCCGCCGCTCACGTCCTCCGCGGTGTGGCTGCTGGTCAAGGCCGGGCGCGCCGCGCTGTCTCCACTTCTGCCCAACGGGTCTGACTGAGACACGGCCTCGGTCCGGGACGTGGGCCTTCCGCTCCCTGCCTCCGAGCTGCTGGCCAGCTGGTCCCCTCCCGAGGCTGTGAGGGGTCAGGGAAACAAAGGTGGTGACCCGGATGGGAAAGAGAGAGAGGCCCCCACAACCAAGACAGGGGTCCTCTCTAAGCAAAGGTTCCCTTTGCAAGGACCTTTTTTAAAAAAATATTTTATTTATTCATAGAGATACACAGAGAGAGAGAGAAAGAGAGAGAGAGAGAGAGAGAGAGGCAGAGACCCAGGCAGAGGGAGAAGCAGGCTCCATGCAGGGAGCTCGATGTGGGACTCGATCCTGAGACTCCAGGATCAGGCCCCGGACTGAAGGCAGCCGCTAAACCGCTGCACCACTGGGGCTGCCCCCTTTGCCAGGACCTTGCCCGGTAGTTATTACTTGCATAACTCAACACATTCTAAATAATTATTTCTAAACTCTTCAGTGTCATGAAGATAGCAATACTAAGAATAAGCATTGGTGAAGAAGGGAGTTCTTTTTTTTTTTTTTAAGATTTTTATTTATTCATGAGACACAAAGAGAGAGAGAGGCAGAGACACAGGCAGAGGGAGAAGCAGGCTCCCTGCAGGGAGCCGGACATGGGACTCGATCCCGGATCTCCAGGATCACGCCCTGAGCCAAAGGTGGATGCTCAACTACTGAGCCACCCAGGTGCCCCAAGAAGGGAGCTTTTATATTTCATTCATTTATTTATTTTTAAAAATGTATTTATTTGAGAGAGAGTGAATGAGAGTGAGAGAGCATGGGGGGGCAGAGGGAGATGGAGAAGCAGGGACCCCATTGAGCAGAGACCCGGGTACAGGGCTCAATCTGGGGACTTCCGAAGGCAGACGCTTAACCGACTGAGCCACCCAGGTACCCCATGAAGGGAACCCCTGAAGACAAAGTGCAAAGTCGCAGAGTAACTTATAGGCTTGGCTGTTTTATTGTCTTTCCCCAAAAGTGGTCAAGGGGAAAGAGAATTTTTGCCCAACAAATACGATGTGCCTACACATAGTGCTGGGTCAGAAGCAGTCTTCTCAGATAATTCCATTATTAGTAAAGGTTATTCTAGTTTTCAAGTGTAGCAAACAAAAAATAAACTCAAGCGCATATACTGAAAGCATGAATTTGGAGGAGTATATTTATATCTGCACATTGTATTTGGAAGAATGCTCTGTACAGAAACCAACGCCAGCCAGTCTGAAAGAACAGGCCGTCTCTCGCCCTGAGGACAGTCCTGCCGGGGGGTCAGAGGCAACCTGCCCGCTCCAAGGCCGAGCCCTCCACTCTGCTGTGGACAAGCACATGACCGTGCCCTCACTCCTTCAACCCTCTGAACCTTTGTTTCTTATTTATAAAAAAGCAGGAGGCATGATGCCCATCTGACGGACTTCCCAATGTTCTCATAAGATGAAAATCAAAATGCGACAATGTGGTGTACCAAATAAAGGAGACGGCGCTAGCTAAGGACACATCTTTTTTTTCTTTGAGATTGTGAATGGTCTTAAAGCCATGTTTTAAGACAATCCAAATGGGGTTTTTAAATGTCCATAATAGATCGAATAAAGATTAAATACTTACTTGGGGAATCATTCTGCCAAAATCTCACTGAGACCCCTGAAGATGCAGGGCCAAATCCATTCTCTGTGGATGGCTCAATGGATTCTCCAGCCCCTGGCTTCCTGGTGATCTCCTTGGTTCCTTGAAACTCTGCCTCCAAGGATGAGGAATGAGTTGATAGTGAAGTCGTGGCAATTTCCGAGTCTTCGGGGAAACTCTCTGTCTCATTCAGAGGTTGCAGACTGACGCTTACAGACTGGAGCCTCCCTGGGACACCGCTGGGGAACGTGGTAGCAACACGCACACTCTCTGTCCAACTCACCAAAGCACTCGGGAGAACAGTGGAGTCGTCGAGCTCCTCTGTGCTCCTAGTAGCTAAAATGGAAGAAAATAGACTTTAAGACTCTTTGAGGGTTTAAGAAAATCACGGAGATATCTAGACACAAACAATGCTTATTATGTTGGATAAATCTAGGTAATGTGGACCTAACATAGCTACATAGCTATATATATATATATATATATATTTTAGATTTTACTTCTTATTTATTCATGATAGACATAGAGAGAGAGAGGCAGAGACACAGTCAGAGGGAGAAGCAGGTTCCATGCAGGGAGCCCAACGTGGGACTCGATCCTGGGACTCCAGGATTGCGCCCTGGGCCAAAGGCAGGAGCTAAACCGCTGAGCCACCCAGGGATCCCCTAGACATACATATTTTTTAAGGATTCTGTTTATTTATTCATGAGAGACACAGAGAGAGGCAGAAACACAGGCAGAGGGAGAAGCAGGCTCCCTGCAGGTGGCCCGATGTGGGATTCGATCCCAGGACCCCGGGATCATGCTCTGAGCCAAAGGCAGACACTCAACCATGAGCCAGCCAGGGGTCCCTAAAGATTTTATTTATTTATTTCAGAGAGAGTGTGTGTGTGTGTGTGTGTGTGTGTGTGTGTGTGTACATGAGCAGGAGAGAAGGGGCAGAGGGAGAGGGAGAAGCAGGCTCCCGACTGAGCAGGGACCCTGGGATCATGACCTGAGCCGAAGGCCGGCCCAGGCACCCCAGGTAAACACAACTGACATTCTCTCTTCACGGGCTCTGCTTCTCCTAGAGCCAAGCAAAGAAGCCATGAAGTCCTTCGCCAAGCACAATGGAAAGCACTGGTCTCGCTGAAAGGAAAATGGGAGAAAGCCTCTAAACATTCTTTGCCTTTTTAGAGAGGCAGGAAAAAACTTCTGCTCTGGAATTCCACCTTAGAGGTTATACAGGGATAGGCCACCGTGATAAGGCACAGGTTTTTGTTTTACTTTACTTTGGCCACGTAACCCTTTTGTTCAAATGCTATTATAGATTAAAACCCACACATAAAAAGGAATAAAAGTAAGGCGGTTCCAGGAGCCCAGCCCCCAGGTCACCCTTGGGGAGGCCAGGGCTCTGCAGACCACAGTGGGACCAACACTAGCTGAGAGCAAGAATTCCTGGCCTTGTCACCACCAAGGGATCTTTACTATTCCCCACCTCATGGCCATGGAAACCTGAGGCTTTGAAAGACCATTAACTGAACTGCATTTAAGAAATAATGGAACTGCTAGTCAGAGGAGATACTCAACGCTACCCCACTGATTCGATTTAATTCCATCCAAAAGCGAACAGGCCCCATTATTATGGTTAGCCTCATTAGGCTTTGGAGACCAGCTCTCAAGCTTAGGTACTACCCCAGTGGACCCCTCGGAGAGCCAGGACTCCAGGCTGGGAACACTTATTCTGATGCAAAGGAAGGCAGACACTGATCTAATTGTCAAGAACCTCAAAAACGGAATTGTGGGCCACTTTGATCAAAATATGCAATCTGCTCCGCAGAAGTACAGGTGGCTTGCTGATGGCTCCCTTCCATTCCAAAGAACTTTCCAGAGAACATCCTGAGAATTGGCCTTCGGGAGGGCACACTGCCGTCCTCATTCCAGACAGGAATAAACCGCAGGAAAGCATGGTGAGTGGGAAGAAACATGGCCGGCAAGATCCAAAGGCGAGAAAAAACATTTTTCTTTTGAAGCCAAAAATAATAAAAAGTGCTCTATACCTTTATAATGAAAGGTTTCAAGCTGTTATTTATGACCCAGAAAGGGAAGAATTAAGTTCTCATTATAAATGGTCCCTTGAAGGGGTGCCTAGGTTGCTCCATAGTTAGAGTGTCCAACCTTCGGTTTCAGTTCAGGTCGTGATTTTAGGGTCGTGAGATCGAGTCCCACATTAGGCTCTATGCTCAGTGCAGAGTCTGCTTGAGATTCTTTCCCCCTCCTTCTCCCTCTGCCCCTCCCCCTGCGGGCGCTCTCTCTCTCTCTCTCTCTCTCTCTAAAATGGACAAATAAAATTGTCAAAAAAAATGGTCCCTTGAAGACCAGTCCTATGGGCAGTTGTGAACAGAAGCACAAATAAATATTACAGATAATTAGAGACTGAGCAAGCATAGGAAACACAAAGGTTCCTCTTACTCTCGTATAAACCATGGAACCAGTTATACCTAGAACACAGCCTGCAGCTCTGCTCGCTGGGCCTTAATAGAAGCAAAACGAAGATGCAAGCAATCCACACAACTTGTTTTTTGTTTTTGTTTTAAATATTACTTATTTATTTATTCATGAGAGACACAGAGAGAGAAAGAGGCAGAGACACAGGCAGAGGGAGAAGCAGGCTCCACGCAGGGAGCCCGACGTGAGACTCGATCCTGGGACCCCAGGATCACGCCCTGTGTCTCTCATGAATTAATGAATGAAATCTTTCAAAAAAAGAAAGAAAGAAAGAAAGAAAGAAAGAAAGAAAGAAAGAAAGAAAGAAAGAAAGAAAGAAAGGAAAAGGAACACATAATATCAATATGCCCCCAATCCTCACTAACCACTTAGCTTCTCAGGCCTAATGTCATTAGAGTCATCGTCTAAATCTGCCAATTTACAAGCTCATCAGCTGCTGGGTGCTCTTTCAAAGCACTCTTATTCCCAAACAACTGCCTTATTTCATCGATTCACTGTGCAGTGGCGGTTATATTGGACTCAGCCTGAATACCTGTATAGCAAATCAATGGTCACAGAAATACAATCACAGAAGTCACAAATGCTAAAAGCCACAAACAGAAAATGGCTATGTTGTACCTAACCAAGGCACCGTGGAACGCTGCTTCATCATCTCCCCATCATTATTAAAAGCCATGATTAGGGGGATCTTTGGGTGGCTCAGCGGTTTAGCGCCTGCCTTTGGCCCAGGGCGTGATCCTGGAGTCACGGGATCGAGTCCCGCATCAGACTCCCTGCATAGAGCCTGCTTCTCCCCCTGCCTGTGTCTTTGCCTCTCTCTGTCTCTGTATCTTTCATAAATAAATGAATAAAATCTTTAAAAAATAAATAAATAAAAGCCACGATTAGCTGACCAAGTATGATGTGCCCGTATCTTCTATATGCCTTTGTACGTTGTGCTAAGTGAGTCCTTGATAATCCGTAATCTCTTAATCCTCGTGGTAAAGTCATGAAGCAGTGAATACTTCTATACAAGTAGTGCCTCTTAACAAAAAGAGAGAATGGCTGGTCAAACTCACCTATCATCACCGCTTACACTAGTCCCTCTGCCAAATACATGTAGGGAAAAATTTACCATTTACCAATTTACCATTTACCAATGGGCCAGTGATATTGGTTTTTATTTTTTTAAATATTTTATTTATTTATTCATGAGAGACACACACAGAGAGAGAGAGAGAGGCAGAGACACAGGCAGAGGGAGAAGCAGGCTCCATGCAGGGAGCCCGACATGGGACTCGATCCCGGGTCTCCAGGATCAGGCCCTGGGCTGAAGGTGATGCTAAACCGCTGAGCCACCGGGGCTGCCCCCATGATATTGGTTTTTAAATAACTGGTGTCCCTTGCCCATTTCTACCTCTGAAGCACCCATTAAAAAATGGGAAGGCCATGCATTTGGGAGCAGAAATAAGCCAAGTTCCCTAATCTTTATAACAGGAGGTGGAAAGAATGCCCACTCATCTGGTAAAAGTATATGGGTCCCTCTCCAATCCCAACACAAAATGTTGGAACCTCAGGCACGCAGCGAATGCTCAACCTTGGCGTGACTGCTGTCCAGAACCTGCCAAAAATCTATCTGAAGCAGCTGATAGTTGGGAAAGATAGGCTAAATCTACACCGTCCCAAGTTATTTATGCTCTCTTCCTTTACAAAGTGAAATCACCACAAAGCAATTTACCTGGACCGCATTAGCTCGGCTCCTCACAGAAATACTTTCATAGGTTGGGATCCATTATGACACCCTGAGCTCCTACTGAGAATCTATATAAAATATCGCCTTTGAAAGAACATGAGCACGATTTCCTCAAAACAGCAATTGGGGGCATTTTCCATTACGATTCTCAACATCCTTTACATAAACAGTCGTTGCAGAACTCACTGCCCCCCAAAGGCTCACGCCTATGGATGAAATTGTATGCTTACTTTATCTGACAATGATCTCACGCCCCACCCAGGTTCCCTTTGTGCCCTGGTTTCCAGGAAGCTCAGTGCTAAATTTAGTGCTCAACTGTAGCCATTCTCACCCAGTTCACATAAGTAGCTCTTTCTGCCTCCCGAAGAGAACTTGTTCCCTGTTAGCTGCTTTACTTACTTTCCCCCCAATGATCAAATAGTCCATGGCCATTACAGAACATATGGAAAGTAGAGAAAGATATAAAGCAGCAAGAAAAATAATTTCAAGTGGCTTCTGACCTCTTTTTAAAATCTGATTTAGGGGATCCCTGAGTGGCTCAGCAGTTTAGGGCCTGCCTTCAGCCCAGGGCATGATCCTGGAGACCCGGGATCGAGTCCTAAGTCGGGGCTCCCTGCATGGAGCCCTGTTCCTCCCTCTGCCTGTGTCTCTGCCTCTCTCTCTCTCTGTGTGTATCTCTCATGAATAAATAAATAAAAGCTTAAAAAAATAATAAAATCTGATTTAGCTGTCTGGGCCCCTACCTGCTTTAATGCTACAGTCCCTGCATATACTTTATTTTTGGGAGCAGGTAACTCCTGGCCAGCCAGGCCTCCGATGAGGTGCTGCATGCCTGTTTCTTTATAGCAGAGCAAGGAGTGAAAGGAGCACAGAATACAAAGGCTGGATGTGTCTGGAATAACAGATGCTGGAGCTAGAATCTGGAGGATCATCTGGTCTAATCCCTTCTGTGTTTCTAATAGGGAGCCCCATCCTCCCTGGGCCACGGAAGCTCACGTTGAGAGCAGCACAGCTCATCTAACCGGTCGAAGTGCCAGGCCTTTCACTGGGTCACATTTACTGGTGGATGGAGTAGCCAAGGGTCAAGCACACAGCCCTGCCACACTCTCTCTTCGCTTCCCTTCCACAGGGTGCCAGCTGGACGGGGCGCCACCAGGTCTGCTCTGGCAAGTCCTGCAGGCTCTCGGTGCTCATGCCTGCGTGCAGATAGCCCCCCATCCTGTGGTCAAGGTCAGGCGGAGATAGTAAGGTCTCGGGATGTAGATTTAAGGGGGTGGGGAGGGGAGTAGAAGGTATACCAGAGCTCTCTTGGCAGGTTTAGCAGTTACCAGCCCAGCTTTAAAAGTAAAAGCGGAACTTCGTTCCCCATGTGGCTTCAGGTCTCTGTGCATGTCCCCTCAGCATCCCTGCAGGGAGGGGTAGGCTGGCCCGCTAGACGCAAATGGGCCATTTAACAGGACCTAGAGCCCTAGCACCTAGTTTTTGGAAGCAGGGAGCTCCTGGCTAGCCAGGCCTCAGATGAGGGAGGTGGGCCTCTACCTAGCGCAGAATTCCCACTTCAGCAAAAAGGAAGAGAAATGCTCAGTGAAAGACTCAAGGAGTCGAAAGATACAGCAGAACTCTTCCCAGAACTAGAAGTATAAGGGTTTTGTTTTGGTTTGGTTTTTTTGTTTTTAAGATTTTATTCTTTAGTAGTCTCTACACCCAACGTGGGGTTTGAACTTACGACCCTCAGATCAAGAGTCGCATTCTCCACCCACTGTGAGAGCCAGGCACCCCTAAAAGTATAAGGTTCTAAAAGGAACCTGAAGGCCAACTGATTTTTTTAATGTGGAAAAACCTAGGTGACAACAGAGTCAAGCCCAGTAAAGTTGGAAACATAGGCTGATTTTCAAAGTATAAGCCACAGTAGTGGGTTGAGTTTAAGTTATAAATATTAAATGACCTTGACCAGAATCAAAGTGTAGCTTCCTAGAAAATGCTTCCTTTCTACCATTTAGTAAAGTCAGTTGTAAATCACTGAACACAGACCTTTGAAACTAAAAAGGCTCATAGCTTTTGTCCAATCTAACCAATGTTTAAGAATGATCCTAAAAGGAAACCTCTTAAAACATGAATCACAAATTATATACATACCCAGTAGTCAGCAGACACTATATACAGAGTATTTAAAGGAGGAATGGGCTGTTTTAAATAGGCATTATGGAAAGGACCTCCAGATTCAGTGTTTGCACTGGTGACCTAAACCCAAACCCCTAGTCTTGCAAAGTATCTCTGAGAACCTCTGACCTCTCAAAATTTTGAAATGGCAATTTCGGAAGCAACCTAAACTCTAATTCCAAGAATATTTCCAGACCTCTCTGTCCTGCTTCTTCAGGCATGTGGATGAAAACACACACGGCATCCACGAACTCTGAATAAAAACCTCAGAGAAGAGAAAAAGCGGGCAGAGTTTCCAGCATTTTCTTTGGCCCGTGGCTGGTGGAGCTCTGCGATACTGGAGCACATGCTAATCCCCATTAGTTACCAACCGCACCTGGTTCTGGGATGGCAGGGAACCTGGGAGAAGGGATGGACACAGCTTGTGTCCCCGAGAGGATCACAGTCCCTCTGGGTAGTCAGGTGTTGGATAACCTAGTGTGGTGGGGTAGACGGAGGCTCAGAGGGCTGAGAACGGGCTTGTTGGAACCGAATGCCTGTGTAGGGGCCTTAGCTGATGACTAGGAGCCGAAGAGGCAGAGAGGCGAGCCCTCCACTGCTGCTGCCTTGCAAACACTGGCACTGCGGGGTGTTTGGGTTTTGTTTTTTTTTTTTTTTTTAAACAATGCATAGAAAAAGGTGTATCTATGTTATCTTCACCATGGCAAGAAACGATTTTGCAATGATGAAAAAACACAAACCTATGTCCTAATCAAATGACACATGCTCTCCATTTCACTCACCCCAGAGCGTGGCCTCTTGTGCAAGGAGACCCACCAACAGCACTCAGTGTACGTGGGGTAAGAGGGGACCAGCAGGGGTTAGTGGACACAAGGACTTAGAGCAGCCACCAGCCCAACTCTTAAGTTCCTCCTTATGCAGTTAAAGAAAACCCCTTTTAAAGATGGACTTTAGTATGAAGATACATTGTGCAGATGGCACATTTTCCCCCAAATACTTTACATTTGTCTCTAGTGTCTTCTCCCCTCAGCGTTGGTGACAGGGATGTTACTGGTGGTCTGTAGGCATCTACTACTTCTATTCTGGATGACGTCATAGGAGCACGTACCCGAGGAGGGCTCCAAGGGAGAGGAGTAAGCCGGTGTCCTGGAGAAATGTGGCCAGGAGAGCGCCAGTCCTGAGGTGTTCCTCTTCCTGGAGAGTGTGGTCTCCTCTCCAGTCTCCAAAGCAGGAAGAGGGAACTGGCCTAAGACCCAAGTGGCAGCCACTTGGGTGTGCACAGTCACTTCGTCTGGGAGCCCCTTTCGTCTCGCCAGGGAACCCCGGGATGTCGTGCTCTCTGTGTGAGAAGGGGCAGTTCTTCCTTCGGACCCTGAGCTGGATGGCAAGTGAAGCATTCCCAAAGCTGAAAGCAGACGGCAACAATTACAATTCCACCAGCAGACTTCCAAATGCCTGAATACTGTGTAGTGGGCTCACCTCTGACCTCTGTGAGGAGACATGAGGAGTCACTATTCATTCTACGAAAAATTCACTCCTGAACGAGAGGCCACAAACCAAGACAAAGCCTGTTTTCAGATCTCACAAAGACTGCATTTTGTGGTGGAGTTGTTATAAAAGGGGCACAATGAAGCTAAGTGTCAGATGATACGGAATCAAAGATCCGATTCTGATCACCATGACTCATCACTCACGTTCCACAAAGCTAGTCTCAGAATTTACTTGAATTCAACCTAAACAAAATTTCCAATATCTGCATGACCGACACACCTGGGTGTCATCATGGGCAGTTCTAAGCTCTTTGTCCATCACTCATGAATGGAGCATAAAATACTGTCATTGGTACTCTTTATAGAACCAAGTGCCCCAACCCGACCTCCTGGAACTAGCCTGGAACGGGGTCATCCTTGATGGCTTCATTGTTGATGGCCTACTTTTAGACTGTTACCAAGTCATATCAATTTTCCTTTGTGAACAGTCTTTACCAATCCCCTCCTCTCTGCCCCTCAGGCCACTGGGCCATGGATCTTAGTGCCCAGCATCTGCCTGGGTGGTCCTCTTGACTCCAGGTTCCCTCTGCCCCATCCTAGACCTGCCTGTCAGCTGAATCCCCCTCCAAATTCACTTTAATCATGTCATTGCCTTGTTCAAAACCCTTTAGTGACCCTCCCTACCACACCAAATCTAAACTGCCTGGTTTTCAAAGGTCTCCATGACTGCCTCTAATCCCACCCACACAACTGTCCTCTCCTCCACATGGGACTTGCACTCTCCATGTGGGAAGCTGCTGGCCTTCCCACCCCACAAAGAGACCAAGCTTCTCTTCTTCCCTCACGTGGTCGGTGCATCCCACTCCTTAGCTATCCCTCCCACCTTGTTCGGATGCACAGGCAGGCAGGGTCAAATCCCAACTCTAAAACCTATTTAGGGCAGCCCTGGTAGCTCAGCGGTTTAGTGCCGCCTGCAGCCCGGGGTGTGATCCTGGAGACCCGGGATCAAGTCCTACATCGGGCTCCCTGCATGGAGCCTGCTTCTCCCTCTGCCTGTGTCTCTGTCTCTCTCTCTCTCAATCTGAATAAATAAATAACTCTTAAAAAAATAAATAAAAATAAAACCTATTTAGCTGTTTGACATCTCAATTTAATTAACTTCCCTACCTTCAGTTTCCAAATTCCTAGAATGAAGATAGTGTGACCCCATTGGCTTGCTGTGAGAATTGAGAGAACAGAGATGTTGGCATGCAGTAGGGGCCTAATTGTGCCAGTTTTGTCTGCCCTTCCTCAGTCAAGTCTTACACATCCAGCCCCAGCCCCTTCTTGAAACCTTTTGCTGAAATGCCAAGCTGGGGCACCCGGGTGGCTCAGTTAAATATCTGCCTTCGGCTCAAGTCATGATCCCAGGGTCCCAAAATCGAGCCCCATGTAGGGCTCCCTGCTCAGCGAGGAGTCTGCTTCTCCCTCTGCCACTTCCTCCACTTCCTCCACTCGTGCTCTCTCTCTCTCTCAAATAAAATCTTAAAAAAAAAAAAAAAAAGCCAAGCCACTGAGCTGTGCAGATTGAAGCAGGAGCCACCATTTGAGCTACTTGAACACAAACGCGGCCGTGTTGCCCACCAGACCAGACCTGGTTCCTTTGAGACTGTAGCATGTGGCACAATTACTGAGGTCGTTTGGATTCACTCTGGCCATGGAATCCCAATCCCCAGGTCTGGGATCTGACCCTCGCCTAGTCTATGCTGCTGCTAACTCACTGAATCACAGCATGCCATAGACAGAGCCTAAGCCTCAGGTCTGATCCACAGTCCAGGACCCTCGGATGGACACTGGGGCTCAGGATGGGGAAGAGGGAGACGCAGAAACTTTGTTTTCCAGGGTGGGACATACATGCAAAGAACATCACTGGCACAAACTCACCTGTGGTGATACTCTGGGAAGTCAGAGCTGTTGCTACATCAGGCCCAACAGGGGAAATGGTGAAATTTGTTTTCCTGGAAGTGTCATTTCTTCCTCTAGCATCTGTCGCTTCTGTTTGTGGAGTGAGGTTTTCTGGAGCATTTGAAGAAGTGTGGCTCTTTCTGGAGGTCTGAGTCATCACACCCTCCTTGGAAATCACTGTTGAAAAGTCCACTTGATTCTGATCAAAGGTGCCGTTTTCTACGTGTGGTTCAGTGTTACTTTCTGGCCAACTGTTCATTTCAGCAGCTGAAACAATAAGGACATGGACCAGTGAGAGCTCGCTGGCTTCTGAAAGAGGAGGAAACCCTCAGAAAAGCCATGAGCGGATAGATCAGTGAAGAATTGGATTAAGCTAGAATAATTTCACCTTTCTTTTTTTCCCCATGGTGGTTATTCTGACAATCCGGGGGGAGAAATTATGAAGTACCAATACTACATAGGATGGAATTTTACAGTAAGTGGAATAATGATAAAAACCGCTAGAAAGAGACCAATGCGGGACTCAGGGGAGAGCACCAGGCCCAGAGCGGGATGGGGGCAGGGATGCAGGTCAGGTGTGAGCACAGGGAAGGGAGCACTTCCAAGCACTAAGGTGGTGAACTGCATCTTCTGGGTGGTAGGAGGGTAAAAGCTGGCAGCTCTCCATCCTGACACCTACTCTTGCAGGCAGGGAATGGGGGCTGGGACATGCATAATTCTGGAAAAAAAAAACCTGTGGACGATTTGGTAATATGACCAAAGCCTTAGTAATATAAATAGGTTTGATGATTTCGTTTCCTTTGAATTCATGCTAAATACTCAAGAATGTGGACAAAAATTTCAGCTGCACTGATATTCATGATGTCATTGTTTATAATAGCACAAAAGAAAGGAAGGAAGGAACAAAACTGAAAATCTATAGCAGGAGATCAATTAAACCAGTTGCAGTATGTCTGCATGAAGGATACTATAAGGTATTAAAATGATGTGATAACATAAAATACAGAAAGATATTATACAAATATTATTGAATTACAACAACAGGTTTCTTTTTTTTTTAAGATTTTATTTATTTATTCATGAGAGACACACAGAGGGAGAGAGAGAGAGAGAGAGAGAGAGAGAGAGAGAGGCAGAGACATAGAGGGAGAAACAGGCTCCATGCAGGGAGCCTGACATGGTACTCGATCCCAGGACCCCAGGATCACGCCCTGGGCTGAACGCAGCACTAACCACTGAACCACCCGGGCTGCCCAAAACAACAGGTTTCAAAATGGAATTTCAAGTATGATCTCATTTTGTTAAAAAAAAAAAAAAGAACAGCAATCATGAATGCGTGTGCGTGCTGAACACAGATGTAAGCTCTCGACATGCCCTCATTTGTTCAACATCCAGGTAGATCCTCTCATCCTCCCCACTTTGCAGGGGAGGCAGAGAGGCACAGGGGGCCATGCCCAAGACCCCAGGCAGCCTGCTCCCCACCCAGGTCCCTGAGCTCTCCCGGCATCCGGCGTGCTGCACAAGGTGCATTGTAGCAAAGCCTCTGGGGCCCCCCTCATCTCCAGTGCAGGGGTGCTGAGGAAAGGTTGCTTATTCGCATGGATAGTTTTTTGACATTTATAAATTAGGGATGGGTGCAGAGTAGTCAGAAAATATATCGCAACGATCAGTTTCTGCCATATTGCCAAAAGTGGGGCAAAGAGGGCATTAGTCAAAAACATCAGGATCGCATGAAAGTTGGGGGGAAACTGGGCACAGAGGTCATCACATGTGGTGTCAAGTGTCATTTGTCAAGGCAGGAGGCTGAGACTTGGGTGGGATGCCCAAGTCCGACCCAAGAAGGCTGCCTTGCTAGTCTGACGATGTCAGCACACGACCAGAAACGGCTTGGAAGCCCAAATCTGCCACTGCCGGGGTGCCACCTCCTGAAGATCACACCAAGAGAACATTCTAAGAGCCGTTTCCCTGGATATCCAAACTAATATGGAGATGAATATGAAATACGTGTGCTAATTGGAGGGCACGGAGTTTAATGAGTTTCTGGAGAAAGCAGTGAGGACAAGGACCATTTAAAGTTATTGCTGATTGCATGGCTCCTCTAAAAACCTATTTTTATTTTCCTCATTTGGGAATGATATTTTCCTTTCTGCCTAGAATCAGGCACTGTTGAGAAACCTCTGGGGGAATGAATGAAGTCACTTCTATCGGTATGAGTCAGGCAAGGATGGCCAACCATCTGACCAGTAGAGGCTGTAGGGAGAACCTACGGTTTGGCTCAAAATATCACACACACACACACACACACACACACACACTTTCCCAAAAGGAACAAGCTATCTTCTAGATCAGCACTGCCTAAGAGATATATAAAGTAAGACACAAATGCAAGCCACATATGTAACTTTATTTTTAAAAGTAACAGATAAAATTAATTTTAATACGTATTTTACATACTCTGACATATTCAAAATGGTAGTACTTCAATATGTAATTGATATAAAAATTGAGATACTTTGTTTCTGTTTTTGTTTTGTTTTGGTTTGTTTTGTTTTTTTGGTATTACACCTGTACAATCCAGAGTACTATGCTAGCTATACTTCAAGAGCAGAACAACCACATGTAGCTACTGGCTACAATACTGGGTAACGCAGTTCTAGGTCAATGGTTCTCAGCATTTCCCCACTCTGGTCCACCTCCACCAGCAGTGTGGCTCACTTATTGGGGTTGCCAGGTAGGGGGGGAGGTGATTTTAAAATCCTCCATAAGAGATTCTGACAAACTTTCCTAAGGGAACCCCTTTTTCTCCAAATCCCTTGAGAATTGCAGATTTCATGCTTCCTAGTCTGTTTCCTGTAAGTGATAAGTAAGAGAAACTTCCTGAAGGGGGAGGGAAGTTGCCCGGGCATCTGAGCTCCACTGGGTCCCAGCCCCAGACAGGCAAGGCCCCAGCTGGAAATGGGATATGGATGGGTGTTTTGAGGGGCAGCTACCAAGTCGGGGAGTTCAATTTGAGATTTTGGGGGTTACAGAGACCAGAGACCCACCCACACAGCATATTCCCATTGTTCTTCCTATTTGAGCTTCAGGGTAAGCCGGACACCAGAGAGAAGGGAAAAGAGTTTGAGGATGCTTTCTCTCTCCTTGGGCCACAATGAGAGAAATTAGTCTTTAGGGAAAAAGTGATTGTGCAGAGTTGGAAAGGACTCAAACCCACACCCTGAAGCTGGTAGACCATGAGATCCCACTCAGAATGTGGAACTTGCCTACTGCTGAGCCTCTAAGGTTCATATGGCTATGTCTTTTGGGAAGCAGCAGCATGCCCATCTTCCAGGAACTGGGAACATTCTCAGTCAGCTCAAGGAATTCCACTACAGCCTTCAAAAGGCACAGAAGGGTCACATAAAGACAAGACATGGCTAGCACTGAACCATGCAGTCTCCCTGGAGGTTTGGCCAAAGATGGAAGAAAAAAAAATGCACACCATAAACAAGACAAAAAGGCAGACCAAAAAAAAGGGGGGGGGGCAGACCACAGTCTTGCCCTGTCCCAGATAACCCTGCCACTACACACTAAATACGCTAAATAAAGTAATTTTTAAAAATCTTTCTAAAAGCATTGCTGAGTTGGCAAGGAAAGAACCAAGTCTTCTAAGACCAAACATGGACCAAGAGCTGGAACTTAGAGAAGTAAGCTAGTTCTACAGCTATAGTTGCCCTGGGGCACCTGCTCAATTTCTGTGACCTTGAACTTCTGTTCTGATGACCATGAGGACAGAGGGGATAGGAGACTATTAAGGAAGGAGTCTGAGAGGAGACTCCTGTATCAAGTTGAGACCAGGGCTATACCATATCTATAAAGCACATAGGACAAAAAAAATCTGCCCTGCAGAATGGGACAGCAGGGAAAAGTGGCTTTTGATCTTGATTTTGGAAGGAAATTAAATCTCACTCAAGAATTTGTAACCATAAAGGCAGCCCTCATATGGGTGTGCAGCATGAATTCACATACCAGTGTGGTCTAAACCTCAAACCAAGGATATATTTTAAAATAGGTCCTGAACTTTGTAATACACTAAAACCACTAAGTCATATACTTTAAAGGGTGAATTTTATGGTATGTAAATTACATCTCAGATACACATGCACATATGTGTGTCTGTGTGCGCATGTGCACACACACACACACACACACACACACACACACACACACCCCGTTAATGGGAAGGAAAACTGGTTCTGATATATAATGCCTCCTGCTTGGCAGAAATAAATATAAATGCTCTCTAAATGAATATACCTTCAATCTAATTTTATCATTTATTGATACAATTCCAAGGAATAAGAGATCACCATCAAAAGGCACAACATATATAAGGAAAAAGGGTATCAGTGGGCAAAAGTCAGAAATATAGATAAGCAAAGACATACTGGAATTATCAGTCAAAGGATGTAAGTCTATAAAACTACATGAAAAGAAGTTAAGGAACTGAAAATTAGAAAAAGGGAGACTATAAGTAAAGGCCAAAAGATATGAAAGAACCCTAAATTAAAATTCTAGAAATGAATAAATTATAATAAATGAAATTAGGAAACTCAAAAGATTAGATACGATTGAAAGAAGAACTAATGATTACAAGACAGATGATGAGGGAATGCCCAGATGATATGAAAAGATAGAAAATATGAAAAAGAGATGAAGAGACAAGGAAGATAGAGTGAGAAAGTCCAACATACCTATAACAACCAGGGGGGAGGTGGTGGCTTAGTCGGTTAAGCATCCGACTCTCAAACCAGGTGGCTTAGTCGGTTAAGCATCCGACTCTCAATCTCAGGGTTGTGAGTTCAGGTCCCTTATTGGGCTGCATGCTAGACATGGGGCCCACTTAAAAAGAAAAAAAATTGAGGGGGAAAATGACAAATCATCTACAGAAGACAAGGAGACTAACAGCTGATTTCTCAACAGCAACAATGGAAGCCAAAAGACAGTGGATAAATATTTTCAGTGTGCAGAGAGGAAAAACAAGAATTATAAATGGAGTAAAACCATCTTTGAAAAACATCTTGAGACTATCAAAATAGAAACATTTTTAGTCAAATTTCACTTTATCAACCACCTCCACTAAAGGAAATTATGGAGAATTTATTTCAAGTAGAAGAAAAACAATGCCAGATGAAGGCCAGAAGGGGCAAGAAGATATAATGAGCAAAGAAAATGGTAAATATGTACATAAATCTTGGGCAACACTAAATTTATAAAATAATTTCTCA